ATTCACGTCTTTCACCGCAGTTCAAATATATGACTTCCATATATTCACAACCGTTTGTAAGATCTTTGGAGTTCAAAATTGAGGACGGTCAAATACTCAGCAGGAACCTGTTCGAATGCTTTTTAAATTTGAAAATATTCTTTAGAGGAATTGTTCCATGAATTTCTTTTGCATTGTCATAAAAACTAAGGTCATTGGTCTTTCGTTTTGTTTTTTCTACTTTAATTTTCTCCCCGATTTTCCTTGCTATAAAATGAAGCGATGTCTCCTTATAATTGGCATTTGATAAGAATAAATTTTAACAACTAGATCGAATTTATGATTTTTACATTTCGTTCAATTCAAATCGTACCAGGTGGTTTCAAAATCGATTCGCTTAAAGTTTGCTTAAAGCTTGTATACTGAAATGGTATTAATCCAATTAGGAAGCCTAAGAAAGTATTGAGAAATATTTAATGACTAGGATTCACTGCTCAAGGTCGGAACTGATTTAAAAAAAATTCAATGGCCAGGTTATCAATCTTTCGAACTGAAAACGATGCGTTTCGCCGTTATTCAAATGATAATGCGCGTTAGTCGATAGAGGGTGTAATTACCGTGAGTGTCAAACGTGAGCGTCGTGTTGACAGTGATTACCTCGTGATGAGAGTGACGAATCGAAAGCGACAAAAGACACATACAATTCTGGAGAACATATAAACCATCCTTCCTCTTTGTCGAAAAGCAAGAGTGAGCCTACATCGTCAATCTAAAATAGGATAAAGTGGAAGAAAGACACAATTTCAAGGTAGTTCTCTAGGCGTCATGGTTATGAATAATCAATGAAGAACAGCATGTCTCATTGAAACACTTCAGTGTGGCTTTGTTAGCACAGACAATTATCCATTTGGAAAAAATACTGACGCCTCTTTTGAGGTTTCTTCACCTTTCGTTTGTAGAGCAAACATGATATACCAATTATATAGTCCTGTGGAATTTGCAAGAAAGGTCAAGTTTGTTTGAAAAACAATTGTAATTTGGCTAAAATAGTGCACCATCAGTGTGTAGGCACCACCCCCAGACAGAATGTACGAGATCAGTCTAAAAGACACGGCCACCATTTGAAATAGCTGAACTATGTTGCCAAGGGCAACCACGACTAAGTAGCAAAGTGTCTGACTCAAATGTTAAACTGGGGACTTATAGATACAAGAAAAGTATAACTAGGAGTAAGAAATTTTTCAAACACTGACACAGTGGGAGCGCAGATCGTACGTCATCATGGCCAGAAACATCACATAGCCATCAACAATCTAAGGCGAGTTTTTCCGGATTTGGTGTTTAGGAATAACAAGAAATCGACCCGTTACCAGATTCATTGTTTCTTTTTTTCACTCTGGAAAGAGCTTGGTAACAATTCCTTGCAAACTTTGTTGAACTGCAATAAAGGTCCATCAAAAGAAGAATTTTGTAGAATTTCGAAGAAACTTTGAATTCAGCATAGTACAAATTTCAATAGTTACACTTTTCCAGGACTTAAAACTAGTAGAAATACCTATAAAAGAACTCTGTAATGCCGAAAACACTTGATGCTAAAGAAATGAAATATGTGTCGTGTCCAGAAACAAACAAACAAACGTTAAGAAAAATCGTTCTCTGTATGATGAGTTAAAGTCAGTAAATTACATTTGAAACTGCTCTCAATCCTAACGACAATCTCGGCTTCACTCATTTGACAAAAACTTAGGTTAAAATCAACGACACAAAGAGAATATAAATCTTTTTTTTGGGGGAAATTGTGCTTTCTTCAGCATAAAGCAATTGTACATTTCCGAGGAATTAAGATACCTCTGACGATAGAACATCCTTAAAGAACGCATCATAAGTAAGACCTACCTAAATAATAAGCAAAAATACGAAAATAACGACATGTCTATATGATTAATAACGGTAATTGAACTTTGTGAAGTGCAATTTGGGTTGAAATTATACGCATGATTTGAAATCACAAGTACGATTTCAGGATTTTTTAGTCTGTACAAGTGTTTTCTTGATCCAGGAATGAGCTGGTTTGTAGAAAGTTGCAAAAGAGATTGTTTTCTATTTTCCAACAATTTTATTGGTTTCTTTGAACAATTGGTTGTTGTATTTTAGTAAAGCTTCCTCATTGGCTAGGAAAGAGATGCAAGTTAGAGCAAAAAATGGTCCTACTCTTGGATAAATCGCACCAATGAGAGCCAATCAGATTACAAGGATTACCAGTAATTTAAAAATGAATGTAATAAATATTCTATATCTCCATTTTGTAAGAAGGACCTATGCGCCTTGGTATAGAGGTAAACTGAGGTTAAGAAATAATATAACTATCCACTACGATTCATTTCGGAAGCACTTCAGTGAACAATTGCTAAATAACCGCCCCTTAAATAAGTAATAGGCAACACCTTGACACGACATCAAGAGACTTAAGATTTTTCGGTAATTAAAACGAATTAAAAGGGATTATCACAAAACTCTGACTGAGGTACTTCGTTGTTTGACAAACCACGTAACCTAAACTACAAACGCCTTGCTGTTGGGGTTTTTGTTTCACAGTAGCGAGACCACAGGTACACTGTCGATTCTAAAATGATTTCAAGCTAAGCTTATACTGATAGACATTAGGCTTGAACACTTAGCAAATACCGGAGAGGTAAGTGCCGTTTTCGAAATTGTAACTTTGATGAATGCACTGTTAAATTGAAAAGAAAACGACGTAGTTATGTTGTCGATGCCTTCTACCGTGTTTATATACATTCATTTTCATAAACGCTGTTCGTATTTCGCAATGCGTGGTAACATTCTTTGTTAAGGAAGGATATGAGTATGGCGGTATTCGGGAGTAAAACTGAAACAAAAATAAGGCACGATGATTCCTTTTCCAAAGTTTAATCATTCGCAGATTTAGCTCCTTTTTCTTATTTGGGAAATTATCACAGAGTAAAATAAATATCTTCAAGTGAAATAGACCAAGTTCTGCCTCCTTCATATGAATTTCGCATGTAAAATGTATAGGAAACTGAGTAAAACAAAAAAATATCGGAGACTTTGATGGAGTCAGCCTTTTATAAATAATTAATTAAAATTATACACAGACGTTTCAATCGTAGCAGTATCTGCAGGTTTGAAAAAAGAACCTTTTCACCAAAAGTCATTGTATATCAAAGAATGCTTGAGGATTTTATCAGTGATCATGTCTCATGTGAATGAGGAAATCCCTGAGTTTACTTAGCGCATGCAACAAAAAAAAAAAAGAGAACAGTTTTTTTTTATTTCCCCGTTACGAGAGTGGCATATCCTCAGTTTGTAATAACATTTTGCATCACGTTCAGCTTGAAAAAGTTACCCGAAACTTCAGGCAATTCAGTTTAATTCCCCAATTTCGGAATCAACCAAATCCAGAAACATAAAAAAAAAATTTAGACAGTTTGCCACCTGCTCTCCATTCTTAAGCCGGCAAACTGATATTTGATAAGTACGTCAAATTAGCAGGGGTGATAAACGTCCACGAAAAAATTATAAGAACGGCTCCAATGATCTCAAGTCACGACTCACTAAAAATTTCCGCTGATTAAAAACAAAGCTCTAATATCATTTTGACTGCAAGCCGCAGGTAGTGATGCATTTTGGTCGGCACGTATTTGAAGATGAAGCGGTTACCTCCAAGTGTAATGTTTTCATGGCAGGAATCTGACAAATCATAACAACTCTTTGTTATTGGACGCCAAAACATCTACTTAACAACCAAAATAAGCGCATTTCCATACACCGCAAAATAAGAAAGGCTATTTAAAATGGCAGTCTTCATTAACAGAGTTTCAAAAGCGAAGCAGAAATACCCAACCAACTTGATTTAGATTTCCGTATGCTTTGATTGTCTAAACTGATTGATACGAAGACCCATCTTCTTTACAGAAAAGCCATTAAATGTGAGCTATTATAATTGAGAACCTGTAACTCTAAAATGGTAAGATACCGCATTCATTTTTTCGTTATGATATAAAACGTCGAAAGAGTTCACTGTTATACAGTAACAATACAACGTTAAGGCAAATTAAAATTTGATGCTGCCAAGGCAACACATAATCTCTTAAGTGTTTTTTTAACCTTCTGTTCTAAACATAGAACCCACACGATTTTAATTTCAACAAAGTTACCTACTTAGACGAGACAAGCGGTCAACTTCAACACAATATTTACTAGAAAGAACTGACCCAACACGAAAGTCACTAACGAAAGCGGGTGAAGGTTAGAGGTCTAAAGTTTAGGTCATCATTTGCCAGTACGGTAACACCTTAGGTAAATATTCTATATGTCTTAAATATCTCATTTTAAAATGGCTGTTTATGATCAAAAATCAATTCTAAAGTTTCTTCGATGATGGTCTGCACCCGCTTGACTTGACATCTGCTTTCAGTGTTTTAAAATACAAACTGTTCGCCTTCAACAATTACAATTTATTAATGCACAGCTTCAAGTAGCGTGCAGGAAAGAGTTATCATTATCATTTCGTGGTTCTTAATTCATAGTTGTATTTACCTATGTGGGTTTGCACAGGATAAAGCGCCTTTTTGACAGGACAAAGCTAAGTTACATTCTACATTTTTCGGCGAGTGCGTATGGAAACTGTTACCATTAAAAAGCTTTTGAAAAAGTTGTCATGACTCTCCAAGCAAGCGAAGGAAGAGATTTGACTAAGTAAGGAAAAATGCTAATCATAAGATTACACGTTATGATTACAAGGTATTTATATGAAAGTCATTCGAAGTAGGCTTTCATTCAGACACTGATAAAAAAAAGTGAAGCATTGGCGTCAATTTAGCATTGGCAATTTAGCAAGTGCGTCAAAGAGAATTCCTTCGCGAGGAGTATTCTTTGACGCAAACGACTAAGGTCATCAAAACGGCTTAATACTTTGAGAAAATACTGTTTCTCATTCTTACAGGCGGTTGCACCCCAAAGGGTATACTAAGACGACTACAATGGACGCAATTCAAGTCACCACTGGTCTGCTGCTTGTTTTGAGTACAATGGTTCAAGCAGAAGACAAAGTAGCAGATACACACCCAACAAAATCAAACAGAAAGATACCTGAAGGCTTTTACCTTTCTTCAAATGCTATTTACGCAAAGAATGGCACTGAAGTTATTGAACTCGACAATGTTACATTTACTGGAAACGTGTTAACAGAAGCTGAACTTTCCCGCTTCAGTTTCGACGAGAAATGTTCTCGCGGTCTTCCCTTGTCCGCATCGTGGCAGTACTACGGACCGTACTCGAAACCTTCAAGACGTGGCAGTCAAATAGCCGTGGAGGGCATCTTTCCTCACATGATAAACAAAATGCTCCACGTTTGTTGCAACAGCTCCGCGACTGTAAAGTTTGGAAAGATTTTGGATTCCATTCGTGGACTGGAAGAACAACTAGACCATCCAGACAAAGCGTATGACTTTAGTTTTCCCATCACGGGTATGAGTCTGGAAGACGTAGCGTTTAAAGACATGCCATATATACCCTTTGTTCAAGCGCCCAGAGTGGCGCTACTTGTTCATGAAACGGCCGAAGACAACAAAACAACCCAGCTAATGAACACGGTGTTTAAAGCCTGGCCCATCCTCATATTCATACTCGTCGCTGCGACGCTGTCGGGAATCATCATTTGGCTTTTGGTAAGTTTTGTTTCTTTTTTTACTACGATTTTCTGAAAGCCTCACCGCCTTTATCGTTGCTTCCTTTTTCATCAAATTTTGTCATTCCTGCCATATTTGAAATTTTTGTTTACAAGCTCTGTGCTATTGCGGGCAAAAACTCGTGCTAGTTTAGTTAGATTTCTAAATTAGTGATAAATGCTTTTCTTTTTCTATACGCTGTTGCAATCGTTATCGAAAATGTCTCCTTACGAATATCTACCATGGCATTAGATTTCAGATATTGGTGGTGAGACAGATAATAAGATTTGTGCACACGGTTTGGTATTAAAATGATTTTAGTCGACTCTGCCTTGAGCAACACTTTCCTTAACTTGAATAAATGCACGATATGTGCCTTTTTTCTTTATCAAGGGATACATCGCATAACCAATTTCGATATGAGACGTATATATTTTTGCTCATTCTTATCATCGCTGCCCTATCTTAAACGTGTGTCGTGTAAATCGAATTGCAACACTTCGTGTTTTAATTTGGAAGACGGAATTTTTCTTGGGTATTCATTCACATTTACATTTTGATAATGAAAACCACGAGGAAAAAAAAACTACGAAATTATATCAGTCTATTAAAGTTTCATATCAAAGACAGAATTTCACCTGCTTTTGGTCAAACTATTATATGTAATGTTAATATTTAAACTGTCCAATTACTCCAAGACCATCAGTCTCGCTACAATGTCTTTGTAACCTGACGGTTATATTAGCGTTTTAAATCTGGCTCTATTCTGTTTTAAGAAATCCTATTTGTGGTACTTATCCTAATTCGCCTCTTAAGGTCAGTGTTAATTGCGCACTAAGACGCTTAGCGTCATGGTAAGCGATTAACATTGAACTTCATCGCATATTGACAACATCGCTTCGTTTTCTTGGTAACGCAGCTGGTTCATCGGTAAACATTACTGACCTTCTCTTGTGTAAAATACCATGAATGCATTCAAAACAATCGTGGCTCTCTAAAAACTCTATCTGATGAATATTTTAAAAAGGTTGCACTAGTCTTTAACATCAACTTAGTCCTTGAGCTTACGCGATCTTGAATTAAGCCTGTATATAAGTAACCTCAAAAAGTTGGTGGGTGATTTTAAAATTTGCAAGTCTCATTTTTTTGACCCTGTTGTGCTGGAGCTTTTTCATCACGCTTTATACTCCTTTGAAGGCGTTAAAAATAATTGTGTATCACGAGGTTCTATGATCATAATGTGAGAGTAGACGGGAATAAATATCCAGCTAATTATGAAAATTCATCACCGAAAACTGCAAGCTAGCACTGAATATCACTTTTTTTGGGTAATAAACTAAAAATTTGCAGGTTAAAGTTTGTTTCCAGTACATGGTCAATGGAACGATAAGTGTTTTTTGTAACCAATATTCCCTTTGAGGTAGACTGAAGGCATGTAATTCGTGGTCAAAACATAAGCTTATCGAAATTTTCTGAAAGTTCTAAGGACATAAGCAAAGGCGGAGATTGGTAGTTCATTGTCGGTCAACTTTCTATAGTGCCCCAGTTATACTCTGTTGGCGACGACTGATCCTCCCCTATCCCCTTGAAATAACATTTGGTCCCCAAATATCTTCCATTCCCCACTCTCTTCCCCCGGCGAAAAATAATGACTGTTCCCTAAACATCACACACTTTCACCCGACAGGACCGTCTCAAAAACCCAGATGAATTTCCGCGTCCGTTTATCAATGGCACCTGGGAAGGCTTTTGGTGGGCGTTCGTCACCATGACCACTGTTGGGTGAGTGAAAAACTACGAAGATCCACAATTCTTTTATCTTAAGTATCATATTTCACTTTATATAATAAATTATTATCTAAAGATAATAAGTCAAAATCAGGCACTGATAGTAAAAACATACCTTTGCTGTTTAGGTATGGTGACCGTGCACCCAAGTCATTTTTGGCGCGAATCTTTTGCATCGTCTGGATTCTGGTGGGAATAATAATCATAGCCATTTTCACCGCCATTGTAACAGCCTCGTTATCAGCCAGTATCCAGCATCATTTCATCGTTCATGGCTCAGTGGTAAGACCTAAATTAGATATAATGAATGTCTTAATTAGCCATTCTCCAAGTTTATAGCTACTTTTAATTGAGTTTCGAAAACAGTTAGGGAAAAAAATTGTTTTGCTTCAGTTCGCTCTGTGATTGGTCTATTGGTCGCCCCTCTATCAACCAATCAGATGCAAAACCAAAATCGAGACTTGGTCACTTGTGTGTCTCCGCGCTTTAGGCAGGTTTCTTGTCTTTACTTTGACTGCTCCTTTGGACATTTTCTTTGCTCTGATTGGCTGCTGCGATTAAATTGATTTTGGTTTCACAACATTCCCGCCATCGAACTGCGCCCAGATTATTAACAAAACGTGAACAATTTGTATTTGCAGATCGGGGCAGTAAACGGTAGTGAAGAGTATCGCCTTGGAGTAAGCTTAAATGCTGACATGAAACGTAAGTGTTAAATACAAATTCATTTAAATTCCCGACAATTCTAATAGTAATAATAGTAATAATAATGATAATAATAAACTAAAATCTCGCTATCACAAGTTTAAGTCTTAAATAAAGTCAATGAGAGAAATACAATTCACGTATAAACTCTTAGTTCATGGACATGCTGTGCATTTTAAACACCATTACGCCATTGCTAAAATCAACCTCGTACTGAAAACGTAAGGTTTGGTCTGCTACATTCGACTGACTGCTGGGTAGCTGTCGAGTCGATTTAACATTGTATTGAACACTCTCACGATTATTGATTCACTAAACGGCACTGGCGTTTGGCAAATTAATGTATTGCTTGATTGACTGACTGATGGATTGATGGATATTAATGACCCAAGGTTCCGCTGATCTCATGACTGACTGTCTCATAAACTGATCAACCGATTCATTGACTGAAACCAGACATTAGTTTTTTTTCTGATCGATTAAGTTATAAATTTATTAATTGACTTGTCAACTACTGACTGCTTGATTGATTGTTTGATTAGCTGACTAATAATTTCCTCATTGAATGAGTGATTGATTGATCGATTGATTGATTGATTAAATGACTGTCTGACTCATTGATTGCTTGCTCACTCAATCTATCCATCTCCCATTTTATCCCAGCTTATCATGCCATACCAAAGATGAATTCTGACCTGTTGAAAGAGAGATTAAAGGGTTCTCTGATAGACAACTACGTACTTACTTACTACAGTAATTTTGTGAAGGATAACGACGAAGTTCGGATAGAGACTGCCTTTGAACACGCGATTACTTATGGTCTGGCAATTCGATCAAACGCATCATCACCTCGGTTGGAATGTTTCCGGCGGTATCTACGGAATCACCCCCAAGAGTCGTTTGAAATCATCGCTAAGAACCTTGAACCACTTAAGGTACAGTTTGAGGCTGGGGAAAAATGGTCACACTGATAGTTAAAATTTTTTTCAAAACTGAATCAGACACTCGGGCTTTAAAATCACTTCCGCAAGGAGTACGAACGATGTTTTACCCCTCGCCGTCATACTGTAGAATTCATGGTTTCAGGATTTAAGTTTTACAAAGGGATTATCTATGATACTTTTTCACTTTGAAAGACCTATGAAATAACATTGACATGCTTGTTGAGCTATCAATTCAACTCATAAATAAGCTACAAAAGTTAAAAAGGTTTAATCTCATTAACGAAAACAGTATTGCAAAATCACACCGTCTTTCAGTAATACAACGTATCAAAGGAGTGTAGTTGTAAATTTAGCGTTCTCTGGTGTAAAGTTTGGTCTATGATTTCCGACGGCTTTTCATTAATGTAACTGGTTCGAGCAGTTTTCAGCTGGGTGTCAGAATACCTAAGCCCACCTTACTCTTAACCCTTTACACCCTAACATCAGGATGCATTTTCTCCCTACTGTTCTCTATGCATTTCTTAGGATACTGACATGGAGAATTTTTTGAACAATCAAAAGCTTTTTTAATTGGTGATCATTTCCTCTATTCTCATGACCTAAATGTGTGATTTAGCGGTGATGCCGCGAGGAGAAATTATACGCTGATCACTCTTAGAGGCCAAAGGGTCAAAGTAAATGGGAACAAATTCAAAATAAACGGACAAACCAGAGGAGAGAATGAAAATAATCAATTACAGCACCAAGCTAAGCCACCGTTGGTTTTGCCTTACAGCGTTCACGTCAAAATTATTTGCTTTCCAAACAGCCTCACTTTCGAACTGAGGCCTCGATAAAAAAAAACCTTTTTGTTAGAATACAATTAAAAAAACCTCTCCATAGCTATAGTGTCGCTTCAATTCGCGTCTTAACCCTTGAACTCCCAAGATTTCATTATTAATTCTCCTTACTGTCTTCCATAAAACTCTTATGATGTCAATTTGGAGAATTTGGTATTGGATCAATTAATAATCCCCTAATTGATATTTTCTTTATTCTCATCACTTCTATGCTTGATATTGTATTGGAATTGTAAGGAGAAATTCTCTCTTACTCACTCATGGGAGGTACATGGTCAAAAGAGAGGCTTTCAGCATCTCGGAAATAAGCTTTGAAATGACTGTTCGAACACGACATTCTATCTTATCAAATTGTTCTGTTTTGCTTTTTCATTTTTTTTTTTTAACAGAATCCCACTGATGAAGTAAGCCAAGAGGTAAAAGCATCCGAAGGACTTTTCTTTTTTAAAGAAGAAGCCTTTCAAAACGTGCTTTTCATCCTGATAGGGGTGCTGGGATTTCTTCTACTCGTTGGAATAGCCTGGGAACTACTTTATCATCGACCCAAGCGACGTAAGAGCTTTTCTATTTTTAATTTCCTTTACTGAAATTTATGTTTTCTTTAATACAAAAATGAGGAAAATTCAGTGAGATTTCTGTATGACAGTCATTTTGAGAGCGATTTTCTGAGAAACCTAAAAACCTTCCGAATTTTTCCGCGCTGCAAACCTATCCTGTGAGAGAATCCGTTTTGTTTTCTTTTAAAAATTTACTCGTGCTTATTAACACTAAATTGCATTCGAAATCATATTATTGCCTCTCATTTTAGCTATGTTACTCCCTGGTTCTCACAGTGATTTTCTTGGATCGTTTCCTTAATTCTTCTTGCCTGCCTTCTTGCTAGTGTACTTTGTATATATGGGGAATTGATATGCCGATCAGACAAAAAAAAAACACAATTTAATTAGATACTTGTTCGATACTGATTTTTCGTGTCGCAGGTCAAAAGAGTAAGGCTACGGAGGACGAAAGTGCAATTATCTCGTTAACTCCTGCACCAAACAGCTGTGACTGTCATGAAATGTTCCTCAGTCATCAAACAGTACAAACTATCAAGTACAAATCCGCAAAGATCAAAGAACTCATCCGAGAATACGAGGAGTATTACGATGCCTGGTTACAAAGGGTGCGATCCGTTGAGCACGAAGGAAATGGCATAACGCCACAAATGGTGTGACTGAATTTGCGTGAGAGACCTTGCGTGACAGCTTTACTTTATTAATTTCACATCGGAAAACAAGATCTCAAGATCGTTCATTTGGATTAAAAAAAATTTTCTCGAGCTATTTCCCTTTTGTGCAATGTAAGAAAATTTTCATCACCTGAAGGAGAAGAGAGGGGGAGGTGCCGGTCCCGATGACAGTACATTTTCGTTTTTTTTTTTTTTTTTTTATATTAAAGAAAGACCAAGAACCATAAATATGGTTAAATGACATTGTACTGACTTGCTCTATTCTCTCCATTATGAATTTTTAAATCATTTGATGTAGCATGGACTAACACCAAACTTTATAAGTTTACAAATCAGTCAACCCTTTAACTCCCAGGATCTGGTTCTTAATTCTCCCCTCTAGCTGCTACAAATTTCCTTGTAAATAAGTTGCAAGAATTTGGTGTTAGATCAAGATAAAAACTTCTACCTGATACATTTGAATACTCTCATTACCAGTTTGCTAGATATAGATATTGTAGGGAGAAGTTTCATGTGAATCACTTCTGGGATTTAAAGGGTTAACTAATGCTCTTACTAATGAGAATATGTGTCTTACTTCGTCACTTCTAGAAGCATTGAAAGGTTAAAAGGTTACTTGTTTTCTCACTAAAAGTAACAAAAAAGGGAGAAAAAAAGTTTAGGAGGCACTTAACTTATAGAATGTGTATGTTTAACAGCTTGGCAAATCTTGCCATATTGTTGCCTGTCTCATGATAACTATATATACCAATAACTGACATATAACAAACACATCAATGTTTGTTCAATTTCCCCCTCAACTCCTCTAAAAGCAAAGCATGAGAGAGAAAGAAATGTGTGTAGCACCCCTTTCAACAAGCTCCACCCTGGCTCTAACAACAAAAGTAATGACTGCTGCTTACCTTGAAGTAGAGAATCCAATTAAAGCCACATCAAGTTCAAGTGCTATGCTTTTTCTAAAGAACTAATAATGCAAGAAATCAGTGTGTGATATAACAGAAACACAGAAGGTTAATAGAAGCAGTTACCACTGTGTTGTGGCAATCTTGATTATAGGGACAATGTTCATAGCATTCCCCTCCCCCAAAGTGATAGCCTGAAATTGTAATTATATGTCAGCAAAGCTTAGTACCTGAGTTAGTAACCATTCAATGGCATGTTACCTTAAACTTGCCATTTAATGGGTAACAACTTGCAAATCAGTGCTGCGGTGTTACCCATCAAAAAGTATTTGGCAGAACTTTTAATATTTTAAGATGTGTCATTTCTAATATGTAATTGACTTTTTAAGAGTGTGTTTATTGAACATTGAGTAACATCTTATTGATATTGGTTGCGTCAATATTGTTCTGTGTGTAGGTGCACACATCATGCACACCAATAAGCATGCAGAAAGTGCTTGCCTTGGTGACCAGACCAACCACTTGAAGACAGGCAAACAGATACACTGACACAAGACCTACCAGCAAATCAGCCACACCCATAGCAAAGGGCAGAGAAGGCTTCACAAGGGCTCAAAGCACATTCCATGTGCAGTGGAAGCTTATTCACTAAATCTACTCAGCTTAAGTAGTAGATTTTTTATCTTTATCAACTTTAATTAAACATGAAAGTTATTTAAATCTGCACAAAGGATAGACTTGTACGAAATAAAATCAAAATAAATTTGAAAATAGCTGCTGCTGTCAAGTCTCCCAACTTTTATATCAATTTTTATATGTGAATTTTGATATATGGTGTCGTCAGAGCCCCATTTCCATTTCACCTCACAGATAACAAAATCAAAGTGAGTTATTGAAGTTGAAGAGGTGAAGTGGTTTGCTCATGATCAAAACTGAAAACCCTAGGAACAAATTTTGAAGAGACTCGGTTTAAAGCCTGCAGTGATTGTTGTTTTTTTACAATGAGCACCTCCCTCTAAGAAGGGAAATTCAAAGGTGAGATGAACAAGGCTTGCTCAGCTTTACGATATTTCAATAAAATTTCCTTTTCTGACCGAAAGGAAATACAGATGCTTAATCCTAAAAATGTTTTCGTTTATGTTCTGCAGCATTTTTGGCAGAATTCGAACAACTTAATTTCTTAAATTTCGTACACAAGAACACTTCTGTTGCAATTGTGCGCTTCGATCATTCCCTTCAATCAACTGTACTCACCAGTCCATCATTTCATGAAAAGTGAACCACTGGAATCTCCGCTTCCTGAAGTTTACAATTTGTCCCCATCATTCAAAAGCATTCGCATGATTTTTAATGTTTAGGTTTCTTAAGCGCCATATTTTTAAAGTTTCTGTAAAACCGTGAGGGCATGGGGTTTGCTAGCGCCAGGCTCCCAGGCTCAGGTTTACAAGTTGTCACAACGCAACTTGCTACAGGAATATTAAAGCTATCCCTAATACCACTGAATTGAATTCAACATTCTTAGCTGTTTCCCATGGTACAATCATCGGTGTTTTTTCTCCTTAACCCATGCTCGAAACCAATTAATTACAATGAGCAATTTGCTCTTGGCAAAAAAGAGAACACAACAGCTCATGATCTCTTAGTTATTCACAATAAGTCGTTGTTGAGAGCAATTATTTAAAATGATTCATGTTATCCAGCCTAGCATCTCCAAGGAGGCTGGGCTGGATAACATCACCCTTGGATGCCGGCCATGCTTTCCTAAATGTAACTGGATATGAATTGAGTTTTGCTCAATTTCTCCCCGCCACTACCGAAGATAACTTAAATTCGCACCGTCAACCTTACGTTCTAAAATTAATTCAAGACAACATGATTTCCTCAAGATCATTTACCAGCTACACATAAACAATTGCAACAGCACGGAATTGATTACCAGTGTAGGACATAAAATATAAGTGCATTTAGATGCTGTGTAGTTTTCTTTCTGTATACATGAAACAATATTACACAACTATGGAAAACATGCCTACCTCGCTCCCTTGTAAAACTTCACATTCAGTATTCTTTGAGAGCAGAATTTGTCATTCCGCTCCATCCTACCTTTCTTTTTTTTTAATTTTTTTATCTTTTATCGCGAATGTATGACTCATACATTACTTGAGGTAACAATTTAATTTTCGAGTGAGTTGCAAGGAAAAAATTTCATCATAGCGAAAGGAAACATCGTGCAGTTTGTTGACTTACAGTAAAAGGGAGACCAAGGTTCCCGAAGAGAATTTCCTCTACCATCTTCTCGTGTTGGTTCTAAACAGATCGCAACAGGTGATGCGCGATGAAATAAGCGTGCGGCCCTTTTCTGCTCTGAGTTACAGGAGTCTGATAAACATAGGCCAATTTGAAATTCATTGCAGCTGACCCTGCCACTTTCAAGCGTGCCAAGTTTTGTAGGTAAAGCAGTAACAACAACTCAGGGTCACGCAAAATTAACTGAGAACTCGATACGTTGCGATAAATTTGCTCGGAAAAGTAAGTATGGCTGAGCATAACATGGGTTCGAGATCTTAATTCGCAAATTGCAAATGAAAATCCAGTCGTGATAACTTGTCTTTCAATGCATTGATAACAAAGCCAAATAAAGCGACCTGTCAGTTTTGTTTTTCTTTTTTTCTGCATTTTCGTACAATCAGGATCACCAAAACTTGTAATGTTTTTTCGTTTTCTGCGGAACGGGGATAGTTTTCTCCTTGGCAAAGGAAAAGTTAGTGAAAAGTGTAACAAACAGAAACAAGATCAAGAAATCAATGACAACAGTGCAGTAACTCTCTTGTGAGAAAAACTGGCTTTATTGATTTTTCTTGTATGGGTGTCATAAAATCTTTCACATGTTTTTGTGTATCCTCTATAAATTTGATTGATCATTATTTGGTGTTACCTAATATTTTTACTGCACTTTCTTGGTAATTGAAATATTGAGACAATTATAAATTTTAGTTCCAGGAATTCTGCAACATCGGTAATCTGACGCAAACAAACACCAAATCGCTTAGCGCAGAATACTGAATAGATTTTTTGAAAACAATACAGCACGTACGCTTTCGTTAAGAAGTGGGAATCCTATACGTACAAGAGAAAGGTAATCAAAGCTTTACACAATCAAAATACTCCGCAAAAATAAAGCAAGCGTTTCCACAAAGACTGTGTGCGCACACAACAGGACGTACCGGAAATTGAAGTTTAGCTTTAACAGCTTGCTAGACCCCTCGCATATCTCATGAACTCCTTGCGATATTTTCCTTTGTTCATAATGGTCCTTGAAATTACCTCAGACTTAAGTATTTCAATACACAAGTCTACTCGTAACATTTACCACAAGTCAAACAAAAGTGTTAAAACTAACTGCAATCTAAGACAGTCTATCCCCTCCTGAAATTAATTTGCGTTGCATTGACTTGAAATTTTACTTTACTTTTACCGTTTTGGGGAATAGATTTTAACTTCACTTACGTTTCAAGGAAAGGGGCCATTCGCTCCAGTGTGGATTTCCACAACTGATCTTTCTCATCATCGTAGTTGGTAAATTTCACTCATATTTCCTCATACATGCCGGAAAAAAATTATGTGCTAGACAAAATTATACTGCGATAAACTAGTTACTTAAGTTAACTTCAGTGTTCACTTGACTTGAAATATCTGATTGAATAATCTCTAGAGAAACATCATACTGCTGGTCCATTCCCAAGTAAGCATCATTGATGAGATACACAGTATAGATTCTCCTTCCCAGGTCCTCAGGCGTGTAGAATGATAAGGATACGGTGCTTGACGAGCGCACCTGACTCACTCTTTTCACGGCCAACAACTCGCCCGAGTCCATCTCGCCGAGAACCACCCACCAACCGACATCTTTGGGTTTCGGAAAATGTGGAGCGTGCGCCTTTGTGTTGGATCGCTGAACAAAAAAAAGCGAATTGTTTAGAGTCAACGATTTATGGCAGTTTTAAATATTCAGGGATTTATTTTGTTTTCTTGAAGAAAGAAATTGCTGACAAGGATCGCTGGCAAGAGTCGTACCGCATAAATCACCCTTATACATTCAACTTACAAAAGAAATCTCCTCACAAAGTCAGACAACACCTGGAAATGAGCTACGAGCCAATGCTGAGACAAACTTGTTAACTGCAGAGTGTTACCTCGACCTTACACCAAACTCTCTGAACAGTTAGAAAAAATATATACCGCAGATTAACGCACCCGGTCTTTAGATTTCCAGAATTGTCTTTCTTTTTTGTTATGCGAATCGTCTTTTCTTGCCATTTTGAAATTATTAACTTTTTTAAAGACAAGTTTTGAGATTATGTAGCCTTGACTTAGATGGCACGATAAAGAATCCACCGCCTCGTATTTCTTTAAATAACGTAACAGAATCGTTTGCAGAAAAGGGAAAGAACTGTGAACATTCAATTAAAGTGTATCTGTTTCCTTACCCTAAAACCGCAGACCTCCCTGGAAATTTCAAGTATTAACACGTACTCCTGCTCTGCATGCACTGGAACCCAGTCTTTCGCTAAACTTTCGCTCGGTGTGGTATTGATGGTTTTACTTTCCTTGGTGCCCTGCTCGTTCTCAGCCCAGACTCCACGCACTTTAATCTTAACACTGACTTGAGGTAGACGACCCAACGTTTCAAAAACCTACAAAGGGATCAATAATAAAGAGAACGTAATGAAGCCCATTCGTTAACGGTAGAAAAGAAGGAGCACAGGGGGGGACACTACTAATGTGCTCGTAAATAGGCGTCAGTCTTATGCTGGTCAGGCTGTAGTTACATAAACGGTGGCCTAGGCTAGGCCCTGGCCGTGCTTATCATTGAAATTTTCTTAACAGAAATGCCTACTGGCTATAAAGGATAGATGTACAAATCCCCCATGATGAGAACTAATGTTCGTAGTTGCTAATGCTACAGAGACCGCGGGGAAAATCTGGAAATCACAACGAGAGAGGATGTCCTACAACCAGTAACGTACCATTCCCGCCTCTAACAATCTCATCAACTTCGAAGATTGAAGACGAGCTTTCTCTAAGGTATAACCTGAGAACGATGCGCGCAAGGACATTGATAAATATTTCTCTACCTCAGTTATTTCTCTACCTCAGTTATTTCTCTACCTCAGTTATTTCTCCCGGACTCAGAGCATCTCCCAACATTCTATTCAGGATTTTCCGGTCGCCTCTGACAGCGTCTAACAGCTCCGGGAGGCATTCTAATGAACGGCCGTTAATTCGGAAAAGCGACAACAGATCTGGGTCAACACACGGTAAAGTGAGAAGGGTACAATCATGAAGCCATCGCCCTTGAACTACCATCTGTACAAGGTGCATGCATCGAAGAGCTGTTGCCAACCAACCCTCGGCGGAAGATACGTCGATCATTGCCTGAAAGAAAGTAATCCGGATAAGAGTTGCGACACGTAACTCGACCTAAATCTTCCGCGTAACCTTGGAAAGGCCAAAAGCATTCATACATACTCCCATTATCCCATATAGCCAGTTGGTGTGGTCTGTTGACACTTCTTGGTCGTTTCACACTTTGTTGAACTTACTTGCAAGATTCGTATAGCCTGATCGAGGACTGAATTCGTGTCTGTTAAGTAATCGGTACTGGGCAGCGGTAGGCGAGTGAAATGCGCTTGAAAGAGCAGATGTGCCTTGGTGTGAGGACTGTCGAAAGTGTGAGGGTCCACTTCCAAGGGGAGACTAGGAGCTAGGTCGCTGAAATACAAGATGTACATAGGTTATTTAGATTTTATATTACTAATATAAACTTCTCCGCCTTCATGAATTAATAAAAGTCATCTCAGTTGCATAGCGCAACAAAAAAAAAACATAAGGAACAGTTCCTGAACTGGTTATACTTCAGCTATGAATCTCTGAGGAATAAGGGAACATAAACAGACCAACGTCTAGAACAACTCTCAAACTATAAAGTATAACATCTCATTGAAGGACAGCACAACAAGCATTCTCTTTTTATTTGAAAGGTCTCGCAAACGGTTTTCATCCGCAGACACCACAATTAAGTTTACAAAGCATTAATCTACTGTGAGGGCACGAGTTGAGAAATGACTCAGTAAAATAATAAATTTACTTCCTGGTCCATTTTCTCATATTCACCTGTTAATGAGGTCTTCATTGTGACGAACTGGAAGCTGAGTGTATTCTTCGGCATCCTGCGAAAATTTGGTGGATATCCATTAAAATGCAATAGAGTTGTAACTGTTCAGATTAATCTTTTTGAGCACAAAATAAATTCCAAAGAAAGATACAGTATATTAATGATCAGTAAACATTTTCCATCTCAAGGGAGAAAAGAAAACATTTTGACTTCTCGGAGAATACCTGTTTTTTCACGACGAATTGTCTTTGCTTGCAAAGATATGACGTAAAAAATGTTTCTAACTAAAAGATCAATTTTGAAAATTTTCGTTTGTTAACCCTTTAACTCCCAGATCAAATTTGTGATTCTCCTTACAGTCAACCGCACAATTCTTATAATGTTACTTCAGAGAATTTAGTATGGGATCAACTAATTATCTCCAAATTGATATTTTTCTTCACTCTCATCGCTTATCTGGTTAATGTTGTATAGATATTGTAAGGAGAAATTCTTTCTTAGCCACTCATGGGAGTTAAAGGGTTAAACAATCAAATGACGTTTAACGACGTTATCACAAAGACCTCCGTGTACATCAAGCCAGTTTATGAGTCACTTTTATTTGCTCATCGGTACATCGCAAAAAAGCGCTTCAATAAGTTGACCAAATGAAGAAAAATTCTTACCGCTAAAATCTCGATGAGGTCCGGGAGACTGCAGTCAGCGTCCAACCGTTCATGGAACATGCGCAGTGTCAAGTGGCTTAGATAGTAGTAGGAAGAAATCCTCCCAAGGTTCGTTGGGGTTATCGCCAAACCGTCCTACAGCCAGAAAAACGTGTCATTAAATCTACATACTTATGAAGCGAAAGATAAGTTTAGGGATAAACATTGTGAAAGTGAATAATAAATGAACCTCATCCAGGAGACGAGATTGGGTGACCTGCGGTCTATTCGAAGCACCTGCAGTCCAACTTCGCCTACCTAGCAAACCATGACAAAGAGATCCTTCTGTTCTATTGGAGCGATTTAGAGTATTGAAAACAACACCAAAGTCAATCAGAAACATGGGAAAGCATGGGAAAGTAAGGGTAGCTAAGTCGCTGTTAGATTCAGTTATTCGTTTAATTTGTTAAAAAGTGACTAGAATTTCACATGCACGTTACTGAGCGAAGTAAAGCAAAACCGATGAATCAACACTGGATCAGTCAATTGGCATAGTTTCAGTTTTATCTGCTCATCGCTCACACGACAGAACAACAAGTTTACCTCGCCAATCTCCACGCACGCAGAATTCTCAACTTCTCTCACAGCACCTTCTACCAAAGCAGAGAGGAATTTATTGACCGAGTCGTTGTCAATGTCTTCCAGATCATAGTAACTTGGGTTTATCAGCAAACGTCGAAAGAAGTACGTCCAAGTGAGGTAATCCATGGCGTCCTGTTTAGAAGTGATTGTGCCCGCCACAATTTCAGCATTCAAGTGATCTGGAAGTACTTCTAACAAACTAAGAAAGAAATGAAAACATAGAAGCTCTATAACATAATCATACGCACTAGGAAACAACAGTGGATGTTACGTTTAATACAACTGCTTGAAAAAATGTACCCAAGGCGTAGCTGGGGGAGAGAAAAGAAAAGAGTCCTAAGGTGTCCATTAAGGCCACTCCCTCTCCCTATGAGTAAGTTGCTTTTCTTTATCTCAGGTGGCGAAGTAAGCGTGAAATCGATAAATCTAAGCATAAAAAAATTTCAATTTAAATAAAAAACCCAGCGAGAAAGTCAACATGACAGCAGCGTTGGTAACTTGGGTGTGACGTAGTCACCACCTCCTCCGCTTTACAAAATCTGAGCTGCACCCTAGTTCCTTACTATTATCACCATATCCCAGTAGTAAGAAACAATTCTCGCCATGGTGAGTGTAAATCATTTGGGCGATTCATCTCCAATTTCCCTTTTAAATAACGCTATCTAGTCGTATATCTCGGTAACCTGAACAAGCGTTTTAATCTTCAACAACAAAAAAATCACTTTCGCAAATTTAAACCTTTAAATTCTAATTTTAAGATCGGCATCAACCTTTTAACACCTATCTATCTGTTATTTTGCTCGATTGCGTTCATACCTTGACTCGACAGGAAATGGCTCGTACAGAAACTTTTTATAAAAGTGTTTCTTGATGTCGTGAACAAGGATCACAGCCACCCCATTCTCGTCGTACTGTGGTCTCCCTGCGCGCCCCATCATCTGCAGCACGTCTGTGATGGGAAAATCCACATACCTCCGAGTCTTACCATCATAATACTCAGTACCTTTCACAACCACTAAATGGGCCGGGAAGTTGACACCCCAGGCTAACGTGCTAGTCGCTATCAAAATCTGGAGGATGAAAATAGAACTTTTCAACTGTGTGCTAGTATTACAACAAAAGCAATTGACATGCTAATCGTATCAAGCCGCATATGCACTAAAAAATTTTCCTTGTTTCCTTACGTTAAGGCAACACATCCTCCTCAGCTGTTTGAAGACCCAGATTGTTTGTGAGGTTTGAGGCTTGTACCCTCGGAGTCCCGCACAACAGTTGGATGCTCTAGCAATTAGGATAAACAGTCTTTCACCGTAGTCTATCCTTTCACTCACCTGAATCTTTTGATTCACAAACAGCTCTTCTGCTATCTTCCTGTCCCTCTCGTGTAAACCCGCGTGATGCAGTGCAATACCAAACGACAAAGTCAGTTTGAGGTTGTTGTCCTTCACTGTTTGGATCAACGAGTCCATCTAAAAAAAAAGAATGTTTATCTCATAAAAAGTTGCGATGTTTCATCGCGGTAAAGTATCACAAAAGTAAAATTTGTTCATCACATGATATAGTCACATCTAAGTTTGATCATGAAGTATCACGATCGTTTGTGTATATGTACTGCTACTATGAGCCACTTTAAGACGATGGATGGACTGGTCAAGATGAATCATTTTATGAAGCATTATGCTTCGTTGCTGATTGTTGATAGACAACTGAAGAAGCATGGATTCATGATCGATAAACACAACTACAGGAAAGCGACGAATCATGTGCATATATTTACTTAGTCAGAATACAAAGTAGTCTAACAACACGCTCGCTCGCGTGAGGGTTAGCCTCCGTAAATAAGACAATTTTCAGTTTTGCGCCGCTAAAAACAGGAGTACCACTTATCAAATGGGTCCCGCCTTACCTAAAGCAGACTTAGGACTGTCATATACAAATTTGATTCACACAATCAACTATTTTTTTGTTTTGTTAAATTGTTTTTTAGCTCTTACCTCAGCTTCCGGCATGTGCATCCACTGTTTGGGATTGTCTTCGGCGGCTAAGAAAGAAATCAGCTCCAAAGCCGTGAGGCGGGTCTGTCGTCTTGACGAAACAAACACCAGCACGGGTTTGGTGGGGGAATGTGTTTTAATAGCGTTAAAGGTGGGCTTGTTCATAGTTGCCATGCGCGGACAGTAGTGTTTGCCGGGATACCCTGATATGTGCACCTCCAGAGGGACTGGGCGCACTGACGGCCGGAAGTTGAACATACCGGCCTGGAAAAGAAAAGGACACTAAAGTAAGTAACAGTTTTTTCTTCTAGTCTCTTTCACAGCGGGAGTGCCGTTTGGGAACAGCCATGGCATCAGGGAAGGTAAAAACCTAAATAGAGGTTCCACGGCAGTGTCTCCTTGTCGGTTACGTTGGGAGATCAAGACAATGGCGAAAGGATTTTCCTATGGAGTGCTTCTGTCGATTTTTTGTAAAAGCAATAACAAGAAAAGGGTGGATTTTTTTCAATCTAATCTTTGCAAAAACCTTTGAGCTGAACAAAACCTTCTTAAAATATGGTTTAATTGTGGTTCAACCATACATGGAAAAATCGAAACATGAGAAAAAAAACTTATTAACTGACAAAGGCTGTTAAACTTATACAAAAGTTAAACATAAATCTCAGAAAGATGATGTCCAAGTTTCCGTACAAAAAGCTATTTAGTTGAAAAGTACGGCTTTTACTTTCCATAGAAGGCACAAGGTAATCTTATTGTACCTGTTCTATTCCCAACCAGTAAGCAAGATCCGAAGCATTGGCTAGAGCAGTCGACAGACCAACCACTCGAACAGTCTTCTCTGTGTGCGAGGAGATAAAATTCGTCCGCGACACGATAACCTCCAAGACAGGACCTCTCTCCTCACCCAACAGATGGATCTCATCAATTACCAACAAAGACACCGCCTGCACGTAGTTACGAGTCTGCCAGCTTCGGCTGATGCCATCCCACTTTTCTGGGGTGGTGACAATGACGTCAGCTTTGGCGATAGCGCGCATGTCCGGAGTCACGTCACCAGTTAACTCTACGACACTGTGAATGTCAACGTGATCAAGTCAGGGAATGTGCATCTCCAAAAATTTGGCTTAAATTTTTCAAGTCCGTTGTTTCACCAACCTTGACTCTCAAAGGAGAGCGCATTTCGATTGAATGTTGTAGAACCAAACCAAAGCAATCACAAGGGCCAATCAAAGAAATAACAAATTCACAAGGAGCCAAAGAGAGCTAAAATTGAAACGAGCAACCTGCTTAAAGCGCCAAAAAACCGCGAGTGACTAAGTCGCGATTGGTGTAAGTCCTAAATCTGATAAGTTTATAAAGTGGTGCGAGTTTTCTGGACCAATCACAGAGCGAAGTAAAGCAAATACCAAGGCAATCTCGTATTATTTTCAACGCTTAATTGAAAACATTAATTTCTCCAAAGACAGTTCACTGCGACGCCTGATAATAATTGACACAGTTTGACTAGGCACCTAAAAATTTCATGCGTAATACGCATGACAAATTTTACCTTCTACCAAGTTTTTCCTGAAAACGTATTTTCCAATCCTCCATTCTCTCTCGGACCAGAGCTTTCAAGGGAGCAATATAAACAGCCTACGACAAGTAAATTTGACAAAAAACGCGTCAGCAAAAATATAGGACGTATGTTGTACATGGGAGCATAGACACTGAGTTCAAACTCCGATAAAAGGATTGATTCCCTCGCAATGAACCATATGGTTACTTCAACAGATAGAGGAAATAAAGCTAGACATAAATTACTAGTTACATGAATATGCCCATGGATTATGTGTAAGAGTTTGGGCCGATAAGTAGTACCTGTGGTCAAACTGCCTTGGTGGAACTGAGAGGTAAGACTCACAAGCGTTCTATAAACGTGTCTTTTTACACTTTTCCTCTAAGGAACCGACAACTGAGATGTTTTGTCCACATACAACTTTCCATATTTATTATTCAATTATTTTTGGGAGAAGTTTTGTCTTTGGCAAGACACGACATCTTCTGAAGAGCGGGCCAAATGGTAAAAAAAAAGTTGTTGCTTTTATCACACATGGAACGTTCAGAAATGCCGGGTAAGGTAAGATGACGTTAGATCAGAATCTAGGGTCTCTTTGGGCAGAATTAGCAGAGTTAGCAGAACAGAGGAATTCTTTTCGGGAGTACGTATGAGACTTAGTCACCTTGATACATACCTTAGTTCCAGGATGCACATTAAAGATTCGAAATATGGCGAGTTCAGCAGCCAGCGTCTTGCCGGACCCGGTGGGTGCTCCAAGTAGTACATTATGATCCGTGTGGTATACTGTGTGAAATACTTGTGTTTGGACTGGATTGAAGTGAGTAAACCTAAAACAAATGGAAACAATGTAAACAGACCAAAGCAAACCCAATGACAGAAGTCTGGGCCAAGTTGTTTGAGGGCCGATCAGCGCTAACCGAGGGTTAAATTTTAATCCAAGTTTCTACATTTCTCTGTTCAAAAGACCTATTGGAACAATTTCCCCAATCCTTTTAAGAGCATTCAATTATCAAATTGTAGAAAAATGGGATTAACGTAAATTTTCTTTTAAAGCTTCCAGATCTGAAATCAAATTTCACACTAACCCTGGGTTACCTTAACCCAGTTTTGATCAACCTGGCCCTGGATACAAGACTGACATTCATAGCTGCCGGAGCTAATCCCAGTTCAAGACCAGAAAGCGAAAAGGGAGAGAGATACCTATCCGGTATGGGATGCTATCAGGCCTATGCGTGACAAAGGTCAAAGTTGGAAAGCAAAGCTTTCCGTTCGAGGTACAGGAGATAAGCCCTCAGTAAGTACTGCATGAGATTATCGTCTTGTGAATAGGAGTAAACAACTGTAAACAGACGCGTAACACGGTAAAACGTTTTGATGGCCCCTGAATTGGTCAATCGACAAATCGAGTGCGTTGCTATTGGATATACAGTCCACCTCTTCACCTTGTGAGGAGGACTAATAACACAATCTTACTCACCGATACAGCAGCTCGTATTCTTTGCATTTCAAGGCGGTTAGTGGCAGAGGTTGTAGATCTAATAGTTCAGTGTGAGGTGGGTGCTTTTCTGGTAAAATGAGATGTTTGAAAGACAGAGCACAAACCACTTCAGAGCCAAGCCAGCGATCTGACACTCCTCGCACTAAATACTGTGAAGGTAGCGGCTCGAAGATCGGAATGGTAAACACTAAGGTTTGTTCTTCATTAGCTAACACCTGGTAGAAAACATGTGCCGGGTAAAAATGATTTTTGAACATCGAATATTTCGAAATTTTTATTTTTAATATAGGAACTAGCAAATCGACTGCTAAGATTTTCTTAATTTCGAATTTCCCCCCTTAAGCGATGCAGTTCTTGCAAAGTTTCTCTGATCATTTTAGAATTTAAAATAATTCCAAATTCAGTACAAGTGCAAATGTGCAAGGAGCTAAAATCACTATGAAGCCTTAGATGGGCTTGTATCTGGTCGTGTATTAAAAACTAGAAAAGAACATTCGCAAAAGGAGAGAGCGGGAGACTCTCTTCTCCTTCCTCCATCCTGGTAGGTGTGTCACTGCTGGGTCCAATTTCCTATTTTTTATCGAGAACGACTGCACCTCAAAAATTTCTTGAAAACTTGAGCAAACCTGTTTCTTGTGCAGTAGAAAGTACTCTGAGTGGTAAATGTGGTTATTGTCCGGGTCCTCGACCCAGATCCACCACGGTTCTGACGTAGAGCCGTGGACTTTGTCATTCCAGCGAAACTCCGGCTTGATAGTCAGGCGCACCCGAAGAACTGTCCTCGTGATCGGCTGGATGCTGCTGGCCAGTGATATTGCAGGAATTTGTTCCACACAACTCTTGACGGTACTGCCCATGCGTGGATGTCTGATCATGTGACCTGCAGTTTTCATACACGTGGTAAGCTAAAATTACTTTATTTGTCTTTCCAAAACCTGTTCTACCTCGACTAACCCGGTGGCTAGTTGTTCGGAAATTTTACCAGCCCAGACCCATTTTTTACAAGCCCAGACCCATTTGTTATTAGCCCAGACTCATTTTTAACTAGCCCAGATCCATTTTTAACTAGCCCACACCCATTTTTAACTAGCCCACACCCATTTTTTACCAGCCCTGACCCATTTTTTACCAGCCCTGATCCATTTTTAACCAGCCCTGATCCATTTTTTACCAGCCCTGATCCATTTTTAACCAACCCACACCCATTTTTTACCAGCCCTGACCCATTTTTAACCAGCCCACACCCATTTTTTACCAGCCCTGACCCCTTTTTTAACCAGCCCACACCCATTTTTTACCAGCCCTGACCCATTTTTAACCAGCCCACACCCATTTTTTACCAGCCCTGACCCCTTTTTTAACCAGCCCACACCCATTTTTTACTAACCCAGACCAATTTTTAACTAGCCCTAGGCTAGTGGACTTCTGCTAAGGTCGAGCACTGACAGACTCTCCAGTTACAATTGACGCAGATCAGAGGCCTTTTTTTATCGGAATACTCATTGATAAGGAAGCGTTTTCCTCATTCACCTACTCAATTTTTTTTCCTTTACAAGAATGATGTATAAAGAAAACTCTCATTTGTTTTGTCACCAGCGTCCCAATGATGAATCGCAAGCGTTAGCTCTGCTTGAAACATCAGCTTTAAAAACTCTTTAGGGTACATTAATTTACATTATCAACTGAGTCGGTGAAACAAAATCATTTTGTGATACCCACCACCGACGCAGCACCACAGTTCCTGTTAAAACGTACCCCCTTTAACTTAAAGCAACTGATCGCGGAACGAACAAATATTGAATTCAAGTAAACTTCAATGCTAGTCTATACTTAAGCACCGATTCATTTAACCTTTCAACTAAATTATCTGAACTAACTTTATAAGAATTGTATGGTCGACAGTATACTAAATTTGATGTGGGAGTTAAAGGGTTAAAAAAGTGATGAACAAATCCAACTTTATTTACCAATTTCATCAGCAGTCATATCTCTGAGTCGATCAACAGTCGCCTTTCTCTCCTCCAGTTTGACCAGTGTTTCGTGTTTCAAAATAGTGAACTGACGCAAAGGATTTTCAAATACCCACTGCCGTTTGTCAAGCATTTTGCAAAGGCCTAACAATCTGTAAGCCATGGTAGGCCATCCTCGGTTAAGAGCGATTTCAAACAGACCTCGCATTAGTCGCGCAGCATTCTGGAAAGATTAAAAAAATACGAACTTTAAACCCAAAGGGAATTGGACTTTTTCTTGAAGCTCAGTTTAATCTGTACACGGTAATTTATGTCAAGTTGAAGACCTCCTGCTTGAACATCGTTGTGACATGACACGATCATTACGCGGTGTTAAGAGCTATGTTGTTTTCTCATTAAATCTGGGGAGAGCTTAAAACTTAGTTTAGTGAATACTGGATTTTCACTGTGTCGAGTGGTCCAGGAGTTTGAAAAAAAGCAAAAAGAGAAAGACGACGGCCATACTAGATATAAAAGTATTATATCGATCCACTAAGAAACTAATACGTTGCACATTCAGTTGTTCTGAACTCAGATTTGTTTTGTTTTATTTAGTTTGTTTGCCTGTTTTTTAACTGTGGAACACTGCGCACTCCCTTCACAGCATACGTCAAAAACGCAAAAGTAAACCATAAAAGGAAACTCGAGGCTAAAGGTTTCAGGTTAATGTTACGCATTTCTCGGCCACTCTTTCAGTTGGAGATCGCGTTTTTAAGCGTTCTGCGTCAGTTTTTATTTAACCTTTTTTTAATCTGTTTTCTGCGTTCCACACCATTACGTCGTACGTTGAGTGTTCTCCGAATACTCAGATGTTGCTGACTACGCTAAAATAATTTTACAAGGAGCAATAAAGGGATAAGCGTGTCTTTCATACCTGTGCGACATAAGCGAGATCAGAGACAAGTGAGAAGGTATCAACAAATCCTTTGGAGATAAAAGTCTGCAACAGGATGTTTATCTTGCCGTAATTATTTTCCACTCCTCCCTTTACAGGCAATGGACAGTGCTCAGTCAAATGAAATTCCAGTTCTGATATCTCATCCTCACGGACCTGTAATAATAATGTAATAAATAAATTTATATGATTTATAAAAATCTAAATGATAGATTGTGTAAAAATAAAACATATGAAATGCAGAGCACTTCGAATGTCACGTTTATTTGGGTGAGTTCTCAGGAAAAATCGAGGTCTTCATGTAGTCAGTGATCAGAATTTATTTTCTTTTTTTGGTCAGTGGATGCATGAAAGTGAAAACGCGCAAACTGGCGGATGAGAGAAGGGTTACCAATTAAATTAACGCTCCTACCGAGAGAAGTCGGCTTTTGTACGGATTCGTCCGAAGGAAAAATCTATTCCGAAATTTTAAAACAATGGAAACCCTTCCATAGCAACAACTAAAATTAACGATGTAAAATTAATTTTAAAAAAAGATTTAACTCTGGGGGCTTGTGGATAAAAAGAAAGAGTACATCAAATTGTAAGAGCCGCAAGGATTGCCATTCTTAAAGCTTATCTCATTTCTAATTCATTTTCTAACTGCATTCAACATCAAAATTGAAGAGTTGAAATTAACCTTGACTTGTTCGAATTCTTGTGAGTGAGACATCATGGAAAGCACATCGGGTTCAGGCATGTGCGCCTTGAACATCTCATTGAATACCTGAAAGAAAAAGAAACTAAACTACTAAAGGGGGCAGTCACTCTGAAGTCGTTTGGATGTAGATTGTAACTGGTTGACGATTACTCCTTCAAATTACGGTCCTTGAGACGAAAATATTTAGTTGGTTATAGGAATTGTCTACCATGTTTCACTCAGAGAATGAGAGCTACACACTGAATTGAAACGAGTGCATTGATAATATGGCCTGAAAAACATCAAAAAACGAAAGAGTAGGTCTGGGGCATGAGGCAATATAACGTGATTAGGGAAATCTCTCCTAGCCAGACTGTATGTCCGTCTGTCATCTAACAAGACAGACATGCAGTCAAACAACTGGTCTATCAGAACGTCTGTAATCTAAAAAGACAAACAGACAGCCAAAAGTCAGTCTATCTGTCTGTTAATCTGTCAGTCACACAGTTTTCTATAGGTCTTTACCCGACTGCGATTCAGTCGGTCAATTTTTCTTGGTTTGCAAGAGATTTTTCATCGTTACTTCTTTGTATGTTTCCTCGTTGTGTGTCTGCGCCTATCATGATCATCTTACCTCTATTGTGTCGTACTTGATGTAGAAATGACTAGAAGTTCTTCCAAGGTCCGTCGAGTTTAGATATCTTGTGCGCGGATCAAACCTTATCATCTTTGCTTTGTCTAAATGACGCGCTGCATTTACAATCAGCTCTCTGCGATGTTCGTGCAGGAGTGGGTCATCCTGAGAAGCACATAAAAACAGTAACATTCGTTAAAAGTTTTATAATCAAAAGTTTTTCTTAACCCTTTGACCCCTGAGCCGAATGACTGGCATCTAATTTCTCCTTACAGTATCATCCTTGAATCAAACGTTAAGGTCACGAGAATAAAGGAAATGATCACCAGTTAAAGAGGTTCTTGATTGTTGAATAAACTCTCCCTGTCAACACCTTAGGATATGTATAGATAACAGTATGGACAAGAGGCAGACTGATGTGAAGGTGTAAAAGGTTAATCAGTTTCTCAGCGCCAAGTTTTCCTTAGTCTTCTCTATCAAAATAAATACAAAAGACAAGTTTTCTAAGACGATAGATACAGTTTAACGGACAAACCTCTTTAGTTCCATACGCGATGCCATAAACCAGTGGATTGATGCGCATTCGAATGTAAAGATACGTGTAGCTCAGCCATTCAACAGCTTCATCCACGGTGCCTACTGTACCAAGAGCAATCTGCCAGGCAGGAATTAAATTTGCAATTCAATAACGAGGTGGTAATGGAATGAGTTCAGACTACTTCTCTTAAAATAAGATCCATCATCGCCTTCAGAAAATACCGTCGGAAACGTCAATGGTTTCATGCACGAGCATAAATTATCTCTTCCCATTCCCTCTTAACTCTTTAACCCCTATGACTGACTGAAACACACGATCTCCTTACAATATCAATTCAATAACGAGGACAAGTGGTGAGAATAAAGAAAAATATCAATTGGGGGATTTTTATATGATCTAAAACCCGATTTTCCACACTAACATATTTAGAATTATATGGTTGACACTGAGGAGAATTCTTAAGTGAAAGGGTTAATGAAGAACATTTCCAAGCAATTCAGACATAAAGAGACACACGTAAGATGTTCTATCTCGCTTGAAGTTGACCAAGTACCCGCGCTACCCACCAAATAACAGTTTTGCAAGGGTAATATGCATGCACTGGTTTTCTTTTGCGCTCTGTATTGTATTTTCCGCCCTTTTCATTAGTAGGATCTTTCCCGCGCTTTAAACTTGTTTGTCTACACTGTTTTACCCGCCCTTTGCAGATGTTTCCTGCGCTTCGAACTGATAAACTTTCCCTCAATGCTTAGCATTGTTTTCCCGCCCCTGGCTTTGTTTCAAAACACGTTCTTTTGACTGACCCTTCATCATTATCTTACCTCAGCATTTAAACTATCAGTCAGACTCGAAATGAATTGACTCTCAATCGGTGACTGTCTTGTTAGAAGTGAAAGATAATGACTGAGTTTATCGTGTGCTGTGATGATGATTCCCTCGCCTTGATTATCAAATTGCGGACGACCTGCCCGCCCAAATATCTGCAGCACGTCCAGTATGCCGATATCAACAAACGAGCCTTTTTTTGCGTCATATACTTGCGTGCCCTGTGGAGAGTGATTACAAAAAAGAACACAAAATTATTATGAACTTACCATAAGAATCAATCGACTGAAAATGTTAGTTCAATTTCAACTACACATGGCCTTAGATCGTGTCAAAAGAGTTTTTCTACTACACCGATCAATTAGCCACCTGCTCTTACTCTCACTTGCATGCATTTTTTATTACACTCGTACGTGTAATGAATGGGAACCGTGCGTGCATCAAGCGCGTGTAATGCTGCAATACACGTGGGCGGTACTCTAAGTAACGTTAGTCTTTACACAAGTTCTAACCTTAATAATTACAGCATGAGCTGGTAGGTTTACTCCCCAGGCTAAGGTAGCCGTACAAACGAGAACACGAATCAAACCACGAGCAAACAGCTGTTCCACCATAGTGCGGTCCTGTCTCAACATTCCAGCATGATGGATACTAAACCCGTCTGGAAACAGCTCCCGCAGTTGCTTGTTACGCGATTTCATCACCTGCGAATTAATCCAAGAGTATTTCAGTGCGGGAGAACTTATAAAGGCGATAATAGTCGTAAACGAACTGAATTTTTCCATCACTCTGAAAGAATATTTTGGTCCCCTTCAAGTTGACGAAGTTTTGCAAAGCGTAAAATAAATATGATTCAAACTTTCATAACGTGACTTCTTTAGAAATAAAATTAAACCTGCCCTGAATAAGTGCATACGGCCGATCAAAAGTGCTCTATCCAACTCCACCCAGTAGACAACGAACCTGTTTTTCAGCTTGTCCGTATTCAGGCCCTTGTGGAGCACGGAACAAAGCAGAATCTCCCTGATTGGCTGCCATCTCTCGTAATGTCAGCGCTGTCTTGACGGTAGCATTCCGCGCATGCACGAAGACCATAACCTGTTAATAAGGACGGCGAGGTGAGAGCTTCAAAAACAAGACTGCACAGTAACGAGTAATTACAAGAAGAAAATAAAAAGAAAAAACAATCACGCCGTCTTAGATTTTGGATTTCAATGAAAACTCGAAATTGCCGACGTCCATGACCGTTTGAATTGATCGCAGTCAAATTGAGAAAATCGGAAGCGATTATGTTTTCTTCATGGAAATCAGATCATTGTCATTGTCAGTGATCCTTGGAGGAAGACCATGATGCATTTAATACCCTGAGCGCTCTATTAAGCAGGCAATTTCGCCACTTTAAATGCTGGTGACAAGTGTAGGGATTCTGGCCGAAATCACTATTCCTGCCCAAGAAAAAATACCACTTTAGATCTCACCTGGTGTCCTTTGTCAACATTTTCCAGCACTTTTTCGTAGCAAATTGTGTCCATGTCGTGTTGCTGTTTAACATAGCCCGTTGCTTTAATCCCAATAAACGTTTGCCCGAGTGGGACTGGACGAAAGCGTCCGTCAAAGAAAAACAGACCCTCGTAAGGGTTGACCCGCAAGAAGTGGGCCACATCAATGTAATTAGGAAGTGTTGCTGATAAACCAACGATACGGATCATGCTCTGTGACGACTCAACCTAAGTTGAAACAAACAGTAGAAAAGTATGAAGCAAGTCGCGTGTTGGTTGAAGAAACGAGATGCGAAGGAAAACTGAAGCCACACGCGGAGGAAGCGAGAACTCGCGTGGCTGACTCTTCCAACGCGTTTTTGGTTTTTGGTTAGCCCACGTGGGTAGACCCACGCTTAACTTTTTCAAGTAATCGTACGGTTTTCCTTGTTTCGTGTCCGCTTAGTTTTAATCAGTAACATATAATTAGGATTAAACACCACAATTGCACTCTGCACTCTCTATATAACATTCTGTCATATTTTGATATTTCTGTCAACTAACTCTATTAGTTGATGAACTGCCAAAACGTGAATATCTCAGATCAATTGCTAGGTTGGTTCCATGGTTTCTAAAACTACTCAATTAGGTAAAAATAGAAAACCCGTTAATGTGTAAGCATTTAACTCACTTGACGAAGAGTTCTGGCTACTAAGCATTCAATAACTGAGCCTCTGTCATCGTGCAGAAGATGGACTTCATCAATGATCAGCAGCTTTACTTGCTGAGAAAGAGCCACGTCCCCAGTGCTCTTACGAGTCACCACGTCCCACTTTTCTGGCGTTGTGATCAGCATCTGTACAAAGGGTAAAAGTTATGTGACACGGGTGGGTAACACGCACATTAAAAATGTAGGAGGAGCTCAAGAATTTCAGATATCTTTAGAAGTCAATTTCTTTGGTTAGAAATGAATGTAGTGGCTGATCATACTTGCGTCTTGAGGATTTCAGATTTTGTAAGTTGCATATCCCCTGTAAGTTCACGGACTGTGATTCCTAAGCAGGCCAACCGCTTTCCAAAGTTTTGAACCATTTCAGCCGCGAGAGCCTTCATTGGAGCCACGTAAATGATCTAGAGGAAAAGACATGCAAACAGTGAATCACACATCTAAGGCAGGCAAGTGAGATATCCGTTGATTAACGAAACCCGGATAGGATAACTCAACTTCCTTAACGAGTTTGGAAACGCATTCAACCATTCCTCCACAGAACTCAAAAGACGACTTTTCAAAATTCCTTACACCTCTTCATTTTCAAATATACCAAAAATTTTCAAGTTTATTCACCATCTTTGCAATCCGCGACAACAATCGCCATTCATAACCGCCCTAGTTCTTTTTCACTGATATTTTTTTAACCACCTGTTTGCATTGGTTGGCAAACGATTATTTCTTTACTTACGACTGACATAGGACTGACTCTCACCTTCTACTGCTTTGTAACCTTGAATACAGAATTACCAGAACCTTATCATTCTTATTGTTAATGTTATCATTTTAATTCAAATAAATGCAACCCAACCTTGAACTTGTCTTTTTTGATGACTCCTGCCTCAATGTTCTGTTTAATTTCCCTCAAAATTGTTAGCATAGCTATGTTTGTTTTTCCTGCACCTGTTGGAGCACTTATCAACAGGTTCTCATTCGTGTTGTATGCTGCATCAAATACAATCGACTGGATCCTGTTAAGGCGCTTCACTCCTTGGAATCCCATTTGGCCAATCTGCAAAGGATGAAAAAGCAAAACAATGAGGTTTTTCAACTGATTGTGACTGTCCCTAACGTATGACATGGTAGAGGAGGCGTAGGAGCCTTAAGGTTAGCACGCTAGACTACGGATCGCCAGTTCCAGTTTCGAACCCTAATATGAGCAATTTTCAAATGCCTATCCGAGCTTGCTCTGGTATGCTTGACTTCGCTCAATGGTTGTTCCAGAAAACTCGCGCGAGTTTCTCAACCAATCAGATTCAAGACTAAAAACCAATCGCAACCAAGTCACACGTTTTCGCGGGCTTTTCACTCTTTCCATGTGAAACTTTTAGTTCTGGTTGGCTCCTTGTGACAGAACAATTTTCGACTGAGTGCCGCAAGTAATCTGCATTTGCTTTGGTTTTCCTTTACTTCGCTCTGTGAGTGGTCCAGAAAACTTACACCTATTTCTTAAACCATCACATGCCATCACGTGACTTGGTCATCCGCTCTTCCCGCGCTTTTGACAGTTCGCTTGTTTTTTCTTGAGTTCTCATCGTCTAGTGATGATGTTAGCATTTGTTTTCGACAATCAGTTGAAAACTGTTTTATTTTCCTTTGGTCTAACTGGCTGTTGAGATTGTTTTCGTTTTGGTTTCACGAAACTCAGACGAAATGCAACTTACATTAGCTTTATCAAAACCTATTTCCAATAGCTGTTGACTAAGGTGAAGTATTTGTGATATGCTCATTCAAACATTTAAACATTTCATAATATCTAACACTCACCTCATCTAAAGATGAAATTAAAATAGGAGTTTCCTCTTTAGGTGGTAAAGGAGTGTTTGGAGGTATCACAACTTCTTCATAAACTTTAGTGTTTTTCCGTTCTGCATCAGCAGGCAGGGCAATCTAAAATGAATCAAGAAACATAAGCATACATTTAACAAATATTGTAAAGCAGAATATTTTTTTTGGGCACTGATTTGCACTTCATATGGTGGATACGACTGTAAGATCTCTGATGGGAGACGGTGTGTTGTAAAGTGAAGACAACGTTTTACCATTGAAGACTTTGGGTTTTAATAACCTGAATTCTAAATACACAAGTACAACAGTGATATACAAAAATTAATAAATAACCTATATAAACAAATAAACTCAAAAGACATACTCGAAACTAATAAAACAAAAATTATGCAGATTCCAAGTCCGAGGCATGTCACTAATAGAGTTCTTTGCACGAAGTGATTTAATCACACATTCATCATTTAACCTCATGGATGATCACCATGAAACTTCTCCTTACAATATCAATACATAATCGAGCAAGCAGGTTATAAGAAAACCCATACCTATCAGTCAGAAGGCATCATCATCCAACCCAAACTCTCTCAATCAATTTACAAGGAATTTAAGAAGAACAAGAAGGAGAAATACTGTCCACATGTTAGGAGCTACAGGTTCAGGTTTCATCTGCAGGGATTACTCAACTAACCATGTACCAATGCAAGGAAAGAAAGTGGTACCTTGGTGTCTGAAATAAAAGCTGTAGATCGCTGCCTTTCAGCCAAAGCATCAAACACATATGGATACACTTGGCTGGGCTGCACATTCCTCTTTGGTTTTGACAACAATGGTGCATTGGAGGCTTCCTGAAGAGCAATTTCCCTGACAACAACAATAATAGATGTAACCTTGGTCAAAGAAAATTGCTTGCCTCCTTAACCTTGCAGAACCAGCTATACTACTAAGGAGAGAGCTGATAGTTGTATTGAGAGGCTTTTAATTACTTCAAATTACATGTACTATTATGACAATAATTGGTTATTTCTCTATGAGAAAATGTCATACTTGTCTAGATAAGCTAGGCCTCTGAATTAGCATTTGCATAATAATATACACATTCATGTCAGTGTTCTCCCTTATTTTAAGCATGATAGGTAAGTGTTCTCCCTTATTTTAAGCATGATAGGTAAAATAAATTTTCAAACCGGTAAAGCAATCCTTTTACTTGTTGAATTTTCAAGAATTCCAAGCAATTGTAAATGGTATTAAGCGGTACTTCAAGGCAGTAAATGTTACCGGTTACTGCCTGAAAAGGAGAACACTGCATGTACAACCAAAGGTTGATATATCAATTTTCTACACTATATGCCACATGTTTTTTTATGGTTTTAAGCAGCAACTCCCACTTTATTTTCATTTCTCTATCTTCTTATCATCTTTCTGATTGAAATTGTATTGATACGGTGATAAGAAATTCCTACTTAGTCCCTTTCCTAAGGGTGACAGGGATAAAGCTACAATATTTAGGTATATGCACCTCTGAGCTCTCATCAACTCTGGATCAAAGCCAACTTCCCTAAGATATGTCTCATGATCAATATCCTGCTCATCTGCTGTGTGTTTGTCTTTGCGAGCCTGGCGACGCTCTTCCTTTCTTTCTTCCTTTCTCACCTGCCGCATCAATTGTTTCTCCTGTTGTGACTATGAACAAAAATTTATATAAAGTAATTCAATAAGATTTTAAAAAATCAGAGAAAAACACTGAAGCAGAATGATTTTTATTGACTCAACGGGCTGGAAGCTGGTCTCTTTAAGAAGAGAGTGGTGCAGTTGGGCATCACTTGAAAACAACTGCTACTAAATTGCCCTAAACTTCTGAAAAACAGCTGCTAACAAAAATGCTCATGAATTTAAAGCCCCAGCTGTACTGAACTTTCCACTTGCACCAGCACTTGTGAAATTGGCTGCTGACTAAAAACTCAGTTAAAATGTTCTTTTAACTAATTGTAATTGAACCCACCTGTACAGTAACTTGACATCCATAAGTTGGCTTACTTCGACCAGCTGAGGTTTTCACTCTAGTAGTCTCTGAAATTACATGCCATAAACAGAAACAGCAAGCAAACATTAGCTACATTTGCCATAGGGAAAAGTCTGGAGCTCAAATTGTACAACTACCACCATTTTTTGATTCAACAGAAGTCAACATTTTGGCTTATACAAATAAATTAAGCCTTTTAAGTTGAATGGCATGTGGCATGTAATTTGAATCTATGTCAGTATTCAAGCAACTACATACCTGACCCTTCTCTAGCCCAATAACAGTCAACTAATATGAAGTCAGGTTTAATATTGGGTAAGAGAGGGGTACATGTATATATAGATGTGCAGTTGCTCAGATACTGACATTGATCTATAATTTACAGCTTACCATTTGCTGCACTCAAGTCAGAGGTACTTTCAGAAGTGGCTACAACTATCTTGTATCTGTCAGCTAAGAGTGTTTGAATGAATTCAAAGCGGTCAAACCCAAGAAGCTCAAACAAGTCATTTTGAATAGCTGCATTATCTCTATCAGAACTGAGAATATCAAAAAGTGCTGAACAAAGATCCAAAACTGACAGTCCAGTGCTATTATTTCCAAAATAAAGTTCACACTGATTGCGTAGCCATGAACCATTAATGTCACTGTTGCCATTCACTTCTTCACTTAGTGCCATATTTGAAGGATTTTCTCCTTCTTTTGAATTCAAAAAATCTGTCTGATTTTGAACAGTTTCATCCTCAGATTCCGAAAACAGCTCATCATCTGGTGAAACAACCTTGCTCATAAAAGGTGCAAACTCAATATCACTTCCAAACTCTTTTAAAGGTTCCTCATGTTTTTCCTCACATCTCTTGTTAATTACTGCTAGACAATCTTCAGGAAGAAGTAAAATGATGTTCTGCACAATGTGACAAGCTTTAGTTGCTGCTGAGGCTGGAAATGCTCCAAAGAGACTCTTCAGTTTTGCACTTTCATCCTTTCCAATGTGATTCACATCTTTAAATATTGTAAAAATCAATACTGATGCACTTTCCACAACCTCTACAGATGAATCTTTGCCAGCTAGAACACATCCAAAAAACAAATGTTCAGCCCTTCAAATAAGTAACCACAATTGCCACAGGTTAAACAGGATTCTTAGTTAACATTTCTACACAGCCACATACTACAGTCAAACTAAAGCCATAGTCTCAAAGACATTTTCTCATTGTCATCACTGTTTTCTTTATCCAGGTACTACATGAAAATATAGGTTACCTGTCGGCCGACTGTTGGTAATGTGTCGGTAACCTGTCGGTAGCTTGTCAGTAAAACGTTAACACAAACCTTAATGTTTTCTCCCGGTTTCTCGACCGACAGTTGACCGACAGTCAGCCAACAGGTCTTTTGGGAAGCTCTTCTTCACAATTACCGAAATAAGTGTGTATAAGGCTGTGTTAAACATTTTACTGATTCTTAATATATGTTTATCATTTATCAGCACACCTTCTCAAAATATCATGGAAGCACAAGAGGCTTAAAAAAATAAAAAAAACGAACAAACAAAACAGATTACAGTTTTTATGTAGCCTAATCTCTGAGAGAGCTTGAGGCGCCAGTGATATGTGTTCCTGACACATGTTCATGCAGTTCCGTTATTGCACCATCATATATCAAGGACATATTACCATTTCCGTACAATACATTTAAGCATAACTATTTTGTTTGATTTAGTTTATTCAAATGTGAAGTTTCCTACCAATTTCTGCAGATGTAAGCACAAGTTCCTTAACGAGAGTCTTCGCCTTAAATATAAAAATATTGTTATTTACAAAAATATATATATTTATATAAAAAATTAAATTAATTCATGCGACCTAATCTATGTCGCACGAATATAATCGATGGAAAAAGTTTCCACAACTTATCTCTTCCTACCTCTTGTGAAGCATTCCTATCGAGGCTCATTGCATCTAAAATCAAACCTTTTAATTCAGACCAAGACAAAGCTTTTTCAAGTTGCTTCCTCGATCTCGATTGCCTCTTTCTTTTCAAGATATCATCACTCTCTGGAAGCCGTGAAAACGGCGAGGAAAGCCCTGAGAATGCCCTTAGTGACCCTGTTAATCTTGGAAGTTCTATTGGAGGCATATTGAGGACGTGAAAATAAATCCTCAAGAAAACACAAGGCCTTCCTTGACTTTAGCTGAAATTTTGTCTGCCATATTGGCTTACATGATGAGCCCACAGTTCAAGAGTTAGAGGTACTGAGTCAAAATTACATTTACGTTGTGTATGGTGACACGTTGGGGTCCCAATGTTATCGTAAAAGGTAAACAGGGATTCATCCGGAGATGTAAGTATAACGAGTGTTTATAATGAGAGAATTTAAAGAAATTCTTTGATGATTGAATAGAGAAATTAATATCTTATGAATGGTATAGCTCTTGCTCTTTTTGGGTCTCCAAATATGATCAGCCTGACTTGTGTTGCGGAACATGAAAACAGCAACCGTGGTTAAAAAAATTACTAGCCATGATTTTACTAGTTTCGCTCTGATCTTCAAGAGATCTAGTTTTGTTGAAGGATTAGGAGTTCCGGAGTGTCGCAGGGCTCACTTCGTTTGCTATAAACCTTTATTAACCTAACTAGACGGGAGACAGAAAAACTCTGATGTTCTTTTCATGTAGATTTCATGAAGTATTCTATATTCTGAATAGAATTTAGTGTACCAGTGGAGATGGACACCCATATTAACCTGACTAGACGGGAGACAGAAAAACTCTGATGTCTCTTTCATGTAGATTTCATGAATTATTCCCTATTCTGAATAGAATAGAATTAGAGAATTAGTGGATTAGTGGAGAGGGAGACCTATTCAGTATTTTACTTACCCAGACAAGTGCTGTTTGATCCATCATGAATTGCTATTTTATGGTGTGTACAAACTCCTTATCTTGTGCCTTGTACAGACCGGTATAATTGATGTAAGAGTATAACTGTAGTGTGAACTATAAGACCATTTAAGGCTTTCTGCCTCTTAATTTTTTTCCAATCTTTAGGAGTGAATCAACAGGAAATGAAGCGCAAAAAGGACAAGGCGTAGATGTTGCTTCTGGCCTGGAAGGCGAACCAAACACAACATCTTTTATGCGTAATACCATGGTGAGTAGCACAATGGTCAGTGGAGAAGCATCTGAAACTGATGATGAAGATGACGAAAATGAGGAAAATCCAGGAAATATGAAAGAAGATGAAGATTTGGCGACAGAAGATAAACATTTAAAAGAGGAAGGAGATGCAGACACTGACATCTTGGAATCTGAACAGGACACAAGTGCAGGGAAAGCCAAGAGACAGAAAATTGTCTATAAGTTTGATTCGTAAGTATTCAACTCATTTATGCCCTTTATACATATAATCAATGTCAGATTCTGTAAATTACTTTCTATGCATATGTAGAGCAGCATTGTAACATGAAATTGTTACACAAGTATGACATTGCAATAAGCACCTTATTCATGGCTTATTGCCTTTGGTGTGGACCAATTGAGTGAAAATGAAACTTAAGTATTCTATGGAGTGAAACAGTCACACAATACCAAGGAGTGTGAGTATTACTTCAGTACATTACAGGGATAGTCACAGATATCATCTGCCAAACTTTTAGAAATAGCTTATAGAAATTGCTAATGTATACCAGTTTATTTTTCAACTTTGTACAAAAAAGTGGCAAGATATTATTAAGTTTTACTTAAAATTGTTAAATGTTTACTTGCTACTGAACATAAGAACATTAATTTGTATTGTATGCATGTATGGTATTTTAGAACTGTTATATTAATTAATTTTGACACTGCATTTGTTTGCTTTGCTTTTCCATATGACACTGCCAATGTATCTTTCAAATGATAGTCCATTCCACCGGAAACTGAGTAAGTATTAAACACAGATATTGCTATATACATGTACACTGCATATGACCTGATAGAGTAACATTCAGTTGATTCTCAATATTGATCAGGGATTGGACTGTTTTTTTCTCTACTCTGTTCTATGATTGGTCAAGAAATCTTGCGTCATCCTTTCAACCAATCAGATTTCAACATAAAACCAATTTTTATTTGTTTTTTTTTTCTGCACCATAGGCAATTTTCTTCTTCTTAGTTTGAGTTCTTATTTGCTTGTTGTGATTTTAGCCTTGGTTCTGATTAGCCCTGGTCATGACATTGGCATTGGTTTTGTTTTGCCATAATCAATCAAAGACTGCTCTAACTTTGTTCCATGACATTCAACTGCTCAAGAAACTGTTAGCAAGGCATGTATTGTGAAAAAACGTTTCAGTGGGTAGGGGTAGGGTTAGGGGTACAGGGTAGGGGTATGGGGTAGGGGTACGGGGTAGGGGTACAGGGTAGGGGTATGGGGTAGGGGTATGGGGTAGGGGTACAGGGTAGGGGTACGGGATAGGAGTAGGGGTTAGGGGTAGGGGTAGGGGGTAGGGGTAGGGGTAGGGGTAAGGGAAATTTAGTATCCAATTAAAGTGGAAGGTTATATTGGAATAGACAGGTTTCAATTCACCCACAGAATACTCTTGGTTTGAATTTTTCCCTCCATGCTCAAACCCAAACTTTCCCCCTCCCTCCCAACCCTTAGTTTTCATTCATACTTTCCTTTGAATTTTTCTCACCATTTACTGTCATTTCTAGGAGAAAGAAATTTGGAGCTGCGAAGTGACCTTGTAGAAGGCTTAACTAAGAGTTACAAGTCAGCAGGTTCTAAACTTGAAAGCTCCACCTTTCATCTCAGCAGAGCACAGACAGCTGCATTGGTAATTCATTCATTTATACATTTATATGGTTATGCACTGATCAACTTGAAGCTTCGTCATACCTCCCCCCTCCCCTACCCCAGCAACCCACAGCATTTGACTGTTGTCTGTTCTTTGAGGGGTGGGGAAGTGTTTCCAGCCCAATACAAGTGTTTTATCTTTTGATATGGAGGTTGAAGCTTTGAATTGTTAGAGGCATTTTCAGTTTGTTCTTACACAACAATAATGTTTCTTTTATCTGCAGGATGTCTCACATAATACAAGAATGATGCTTGAAGATCTCACTACAATTTCAACGTTACTGGAGAGCATTTTGGGGACAGGAAAACTGCTACCTCTTAAAGTTACTGTTAATTATAAGTAGTCGAAGATTCAATGAAATAAATATATTAAACCATATGTTTAATTTTACCCTTTTGTTTTATTAGTGCTTTTAAATAATTGCAAGACCCATGTGTTAATATCCTATATTGTGTCTTTGTAACAGTCGAAACCTGTGTCAAGCAGCACTGTATTAAGAGGTGACCCTGTATCAGCTATTTTAAGCATTGGCTTATCAAAGTCCCAAATTTGCTTCCCCTTAACCATTGTAATATTCACCTCTATTAAGCGGTCACCTCTTTCAGGGAGATGTGGTCACCCTTTACTAAGTCCCAACAGCCTGTTTGTATGATCATCCATTTGTAATGAAGAGTCAATTAAAGTAATTTTCACCTCTATTAAGTGGTCACCTTTTTCAAGTGGATGTGGTCACCCTTTACTAAGTTCCAACAGCCCGTTTGTATGATCATCCATCTGTATTGGATAGTCAATGAAGTAATTTTCACCTCTATTAAGCACTCACTTCTATCAAGGGGATGTGGTCACTTTATTAAGTCCCAACAGGCTGTTTGCATCATCATCCATCTGTATTGAATGGTCAATTAAAGTAATTTTCACCTCCATCAAGCAGATATGGTCACCTTTACCAGGTTCCAACAGCTTGTTTACATCATCATCCATCTGTAATGGAGAGTCAAATAAAGTAATTTTCACTTCTATTAAGCGGTTACCTCTTTTAAGGAGATGTGGTCACCCTTTACTAAATTCCAACAGCCTGTTTGCATCATCATCCATCTGTATTGAATAGTCAAGTAAGTAATTTTCACCTCTATTAAGTGCTCTCTTCTATCAAGGAGATGTGGTCACCATTTACTAAGTCCCAACAAGCTGTTTGCATCATTATCCATCTGTGTTGAATGGTCAATTAAAGTCATTTCACCTCTATTAAGCGGTCACCTCTATCAAATATATGTGGTCACCTTTTACTTAGTCCCAACAGCCTTTTTGTTAAAAACTTGATTCTAAAAAACTTTGAGTAGTACTCTCCCGGGGGGTCTATTTGTGCATTGTTCACAACCAGTACAGTATAGTAGTGTTTAGAAGTGCTGTAAATAATTACAGATAGATTCCATATGGCTCTACATTCCATACTTGTGCGTTTCTGGATATATTTACAAAACAGGAAAGAGGCCAATTTCTCATCTCACGCAAGTATGTAGACTACGAGCAGTCTCTACTTTCCGGCGGAGTCCACCGCGCGAGTCAAGAATTTCAGTGAAGAAAAAATATTGATGTTAGTGAAAAAAGTAGTGTCCCATTCCAAGAATTCCACACCGGCCTTCTCTTAAAAGGAGGGACGGACTTCTCCATCTCATGGATTTATCTCAAATGATTTAGTTTTCCCCCCCCCCCCCGACCGAATTCGCCAATGCGGCCCCCCCGAAAATTTCTTATTTATTTTTATCCCCCTAACCCCCCCATCTCACCAAGCAATTTCGCGGGAAAAACGTGGATCTCTCTGCCAGGGACTTCAATTGGTTGAATACTCATCCAATCAGACTCTCGATTATATAGGAGTATAACGAAGAAGAAAGTCTCTTCATTTTGTTTGCAACGAACAACGTGCATGACACAAGAAAATGAAGCGAGAAACCGCATTACAAGCATAAGAAGCCAGATGATTGTGGAATTTTGTAATATATGTAGTTTAAATCTTAGTTTTTCGTGGGCAACTGATCCAAACTTCCTTTTATCCGGGAGTTTTGGTCAGCCGTACGGGAGAGCGGGAGATTGGCTCTGTATCCGGGAGACTTCCGGATAATCCGTGAGAGTTGGCATATATGCTGTTGTGTTGTTTCATGTGAGTCAAACTACTACACGTGTTCTGCAAAGAACGCCATCTTTTATTCTATCCCAGAATCCTCTTGTACGTACATAATTCAAATAAAATAACACAAAACTACCTTCTAGCGTCTTTACACAGCTTCTAGTTTTTTTCGATGCTTTAAAAATGTGTTATATCAGCAGCCACATGCATATGCAGTTGTTTAGACTGCCTATTTTCTTTAGGATTTTGTAAGCCAAGCGTGAGCGGGGCCGGATGGGTCATGTGATAAAGAACAGTATTCAATTTCCGTAGGATCTCAGTTCATACGTAACACAAATAAAGGAATTTATATACTAAGGCCGTTTGTTGTCTCTCTACTCTCGGAAGAGATCGGAAAAGCATTGATCAGGTAAGCAGTGATCAGATTAGGCAAGTCTCGTTTTTGAGTTATAGATCATCACCTTGATTGCAGTCAGGTTGATCAGATTGAAACTTTCCGTGACATCGTTACACCACGGTCCACAAAGAAACAAAGATTCGGTGGCCGATCAAACAGACAGCTCCAGATAGCATCCTTACAGCATACATTTTTGAGAAATCTAAGTATAATTGCGAAGAAAGGACTGTACGATCTAAATGAACGCGAAACCTTAAAGCCATTTTAAATTGACACGAGTGACACTTTCATTACGCACAAGACAAAATGACCACGTAAAACTGTAGCCTTGAATTAAGTGGGCCATATTTAAAACGTTGGGATAAAGGATAAAGTTGAATTTCTCATCTCGCCAGGAAGATCACTTCGCACAATAATTAATCGGCGCAGTTGTGCAATAGTCAATATCTACTTCTCTAGACTGAAAAACGAATTAAAAACACCATCCTTGAAACTTATTTAAGATTACTTCGGCAAATTCTATTTTGCGAAACGAAACAAAACCAGGTAATTCAGGGTCGTAACAAGGTATATTTTTTTCATAACTGATCCTGTATTTTTGCCCCAAATTTTGATCCCTGATCACAAAAACGTTGGGAATTTTGATCCCTGATCCCAAAAACGTTCACAATTTTGATCCCTGATTCCACTAAAACACTGCTGATCCCGATCCCAAGTGTTGTGATCCCAGATCCCGGGGCTGTGATCCCTGATCTCATATACCTTGTTACGACCCTGAGGTAATTGCTTATTATTGCTTAGGGTATATCATCTAATAAAGTAAAGGTAACTCTCACGAGGATTTTGGAGTAAACGTTAGTCATTGAGTAGGATTTTAATTCGTTTCGCAAAGTAGTTATTAAAGAAGAGTTACTATTTTGCGAAATCGACTATTTTCACCCTTCGGTGGCTATGTGACCTTTTTCATGTCACGAAACTAAATTTAAACATTGCACATTAGTATATTACCAAACCTATTGTGTGACACGAGAATGGCTTCATCGTTACCGCTAGTGTAAATAATCCATGACGCAAAATAGTAATTGTTCTAAAATTACTACTTTGCGAGATTGACTTTATATGGATAGTGAAGGAGGAGGTAACCAAGATCTTCGGGTATATAATATGATGTTGAGTTTAAACGTAATTTTGTGACCCGAAAAGAAAGACCTTATTGAAGGGTGAAAATAGCCCGTTTCGCAAAAGAGTATCTATCCTAAAATTACATGTTTTGCGAAATATATTTTGATACGGTTATAGAAATAAGACTGAGGAGGCCAAAATCTTTGGTAATTTAAAATTTGGGATGTTTCAATGTATTTTTGTGACACGAAAGAGGTCACATTGTCACCGCAGGCGAAAAATGGTTGATTTCGCAAAATACTAAACCTCTTCCTGAATTACTATTAAGCGAAATGAATAAAAATCCTTCTTATCGATTGACGATTACTCCAGAGTCCTTGTGGAAGTTATCCTTACCTTATTAGAAAATACATCTGCATCTTTCCTTTAGTTTCGTTATTTCCCGCCAGTTTTCGTTTCGTTTCGTTTCGCAAAGTATTCTAAGCCGGTTACTTCTCAGCTTCGCGGGTGTCCTTCGGGAAAAATCGTACGCGCGCTAGTTTCTCTAAAATCCTAGCAAACTATGCATCAGAAGAAAGCTTATTAAATGCAGTTTATTATAAAATTATAATTTAAGCGAGTTTTCCTTTTAGGAAGTGTTAAGAGCCGGTAAGGCGAGAAACGACCTGGGGTTCTTTGATTGAATTTATCGGGTATCGGATGCTGCAGCTCAAGCAATACGGCTGCGTAGTCTTGTTCACAAGGCATCAATCAACAAATGTACTTTGGGCTTTTTCTACATTCTGATTAGTTATCCAGATATCGACATCTAAATTTGGAGTAGCTAAAAATATGGGAGGCGTGTTGCGTAAATGGACGTCACGGGACAAGTATTTCAAATATCAAGTTTTCCCGACACACTTAAAAGCTTTTAAAAGCTTACCGTAAACATTTGAATCGTCAAACACTTGTTTCAGTTATTAATAATGACCAGAAGTTTTCTTTAGAATTTTTTAAGTTGTTTACCATTAAGATCGACCTATCGATAGATTTAACAATGTAGTTTCGATACAGTTGCTATTTATCCAAATATGAAAGGTGATATATTTGAGCTCGCTGATTAAATGGAAGAAGAATTTTTTTTTTCGTTTTATTCACATATGAACCTCTTCATATGAATCTTTTTATGGCTAAGCTAAAATGGAGTCCCTGTCACTCAGTGGTAGAGCATCTGAGCTCGAAATCCAAAGGTCTGAGGTTCGATACCTTATGAGGGTTCACCATGTTTTCTTTTGTCCCAAGCTCGTGACATGACCAAAAAATACTATCTTTTTATATTGTCCAAATATGTTTCCTTCTGCTCTTACATTCAGATCCCGGGATGTTTTCTTTAAAGGACCGTGCATCTTGGACAGGAGCTCAGGCCAGGAGTCAGTTCCGACAAAACGTCTTCCCCGAAGCCCATACAAATGGCATGTCCAATGGTTTTACACAAACTAGCGTTCACATAATTCCGTCGAGCCAGGCAAAACACTTCGCAGAATTTTGCCGAATGAACCACGTCCCTTGCCCCTTACTTTATAGAAGCAACACGGGAGAAGTGTCAGCTCCACCCTTGGCAGCAAATGTGGACATTCGGTAATTTGTGAGATGGCTAGATTTTTATTTTAGACTCGACCATTTTTTAGAAAAAAATCTACCTTTGAAATGAGATTTTGAAGGTAAAATGAAAAAGAGAAAATCCACGAAGACCGAAAATCTCGGCGGCGTTGATATTTTTGTTTGTAACACGAAGTTTATTTTTACATATTGCATCGGACCCTCTTGGTATGAGGTTATGAAAACAGAACTCGTAAAAACGTCGAACCGTGGAGAGCGTAGAGTATTGGAGAATGTAGGAGAAAAAGAGAAAGTCACAGTTAGTTGTCGCTTTGTGCTTTAAAGTGAGGGTTTTCATTTGATGACGAAACAAGCGTGTGCTAAGTTTTCTTTCAAAATTTCTTTTTTTTCTTATCCAGTTTAAAACAAGAGTTCATTTGCTCTTGGAAATCTATCGCATTTTCTTAGCTTTGCATTTATTTCTCAGAATTTTCTCAAATAAATAAAATGTTCTCCAATTAACTTTATCTCTATTTTTTCGATTATATTTTGATAGGACGGATCAGTCAGCATATGGTATTTATGAAAATGGGGTCTGTTCCAAAACCGTAACAGACTTACTAGATATACCCTTCGACGAGTTTGTTACCTTTTACGTTGGCTGCAGTAGCTCCTTCGAGCTCGCGCTACAAGACGCTGACCTTCCAGTTCGACACGTGCAGATCGGACGCAGTGTGCCTAGTTACAAGACTAAGGTTCCATGTGTCACCTCAGGTCCTTTCTCTGGAAAAGTAATCATGTCGATGCGCCCAATGCCTCGAAACTTAGTAGAGAGGGCCGCGCAGGTGACTGCTTTTTTGGACAAAGTACACGGAGCCCCTACGCACATTGGTGAAGCTTCTTGTATTGGAGTGGAAGATCTGCATAATCCTGAGTTTGATGACAAACCAAATATAAGGGAAGGAGATGTATGCATGTACTGGGGTTGTGGTACAACTGCCACGATGGCGATAATTAATGCAAGTATGTGACGCGATTCAAAACCTTTCAAACGACTCTTACCAATGATTTCGTACGACAAAATCAGTTAAGGAATCATCATAGATAGTAGCAAACCACAAGTGACCAGGCTTCCATGCCCTGTGTGTTTGACAAAATACATTTCTCCAAGCGAGGTGCTCTCTCAACGTTCTGAATAGCAGGAAATTTGCTCCGGACTATGGAGTTCAATGCGTCAATAATATAAGGGTACAATCTGGTACACGGTCAATCAGAGAAGAGGATTATAAACCGCGTGGTACATCGAATCGCTATCTTGAATGCCAATCCGGCCATATGGTCAATTCAATTGTACCACGGAGTGCATAATCCTCTTCTCTAATTAGCTGTGTAGCTATTAGCATAGTGCCCCCCTTGTACTACTTGCGTCGCTTGCGCAAGAGGTTTCAAAACACTCGCGCGTAGTCATCATCATTCCTCCTTCGTTGCACAAGCAGGATTTCACATTTTCGTAGCTTGAAGTAATTGCTCTCCCATCTCTATCCGACTAAATGAAACCGTAAGATAGGCCGGCATTTTAATCAATTGATTAACGAACACTATGTTATTTTGTTTCTCTTCAGAGCTTCCCCTGGCGATTAGCCTAAGCCCAACTGCGAATTGTTGTAACTTCATAAGTGATCTCAACAATGACGCGTTCAACAAGATGAACGTCCCTAGGTGGATGGAATTTCTGCAAACAAAAGCCCCGTTCATAACTGAAAACCCTGTTTTTGGTTCCCTTGTGTCCGACAAAGCACTGGAGCTGATTCAGCAACTTGAAAAACCGCTTAGACGGGATCCAATAAAATCTCTTTTAAGTTGTGTAGTTGACGATACAGTTGACTCACTTGCCAAGGCGGCATTAAGACTGAGCCACGCCTCCTTTGTTGCCATAGTTACGTCAAATGACATTTCTACCAAGGAAGGACTCGGTGTGCTGTCTATCATGAAGTCTCTCTTGGCAACTGATTCTAAAGAAGTCGTTTTGCTTGTCCCGGAGGATAAGCTCGCCGAATGGAAAAATGCCATAAGCAGTGGCATCGATTGTAAACTGTTAAAGAAAACAGTTGATGTGCGTAAAATCGAAACAAGAGACGGAAGCTCAAAGGATGATGTTTTAAAACTTTCTCGTCATGTGTTGTCAACTATGGAGGGCTTTAAACTGGATGATGTTCGTCCTCGGCGGTTTACTGCTCTGGTTGCCTGTGATGGAAAAGGTGAGTACGATCAAAGTGGGCTGCTATGGATTTTTCTTCTGCTGGAGGGCTTCGTAGAAAAATTTTTGTTTTTTTTCTTAATCTAGACAATTCTTAGAAATTTATGAACCAGCGGTTTATTATATAGGGGGGTGTTGACTATATGTTAGTTACCCCTAGGGAGGTTCGAATACACACAGATTATTGACTCCGTTTCATTCAACATTTCTTCCAGGAGGTTTTTGGGTGGAGAGTGCAGTTGAACTGTTGATGGAAGCTAATGTGGAAGCTTATGTGAATAATTCGTCAGATGGTTCCTGGCCTGGTGAAATAATCGCAACAGCGCTTTACATACTGAATTGCTGTCCTATCCACTCTCGGTATCAGCGAAGGGGTTTGGGCCTGCACAAGCCGTTACAGCAGAGCGTATTTTTGGTAACATACGAAGAGGTAACAAGTATCTGGTCTCTTTGTTGTGCTTTATACCGCTATAAGTAAAATTAAACGCACTATTTGGACTTCCTCAAAACCGTTTCTTTTGATCATATATAGATCTGTAAGTTAATAGAAAAAGGTTGAGAATTAACTGGCCTGGTCACCCAAGATGCTCATAAGCATAAGTAGAGTGATATTCACGTGACTTACGTCAGCGGATATTAGTGATTGGAGGAAACAAACGCAAGAATCTACCTCGACCCACGCTCCTCACTGACTTACTCTACTGTCTAAACATGTTCTAAGCATGGCCCCCTCCCCGTGAGATAAATTTTGCTTAGAGAAAACATTATACTTTCCAAACAAGAAGGTTACTAAGAAAAAGATCCCATTTCCACAGCGTTAAAAATTAGAAAGCAACGCCAATTGTCCATAGCAGGGTTCTCTTTTTCTCGTTTTAACCGCCCAAAATCCGACTGTGGCCAACTCATACTAGATTCCCTAGTACACAACAATAATTTATATTTCTTTCATTTCAACAGCTTGCAAACCTGACGTCCAAGCTTGAATTTTCATTCGATACCCAAGTAGTAAAAGATCTCGTTGAGAAGACAAACGCCTCAGCGTCAAGCGTTTTGGAATGTCTCGGTGTTAAAGATTGAATATAGTTTAACATGCCCTGCCCCCACCCCTCCCTTCCTTAATCAACTGAGATGCATGTAGCTGGCAACACTTTGACGACGAAATTACTCTTAGTTAAGAATGTGGAATTATGGTCACTGATTATGTTCAAGTGAAAGGAATGATCTTATCAAATGAAATTGCTGTGTATTTAGTCCTGCAGCGATCATTTGTTTATAGCTAACAGTTCGTGAATATCTGAATTCAAAGTCCGCAGTTATTTAGGTTTTAAGCCGTCACGTCTTGTTTAACTTTCATCAGTGAACGGGCTGAGTTTATCAACTGACCTTTGTTTGGACCCACACACTATTTCTTGTTTTGGTTTTTGCAGTTAGGTTTAGTTTATATACTTTTTTTCATCTTTTTTCATGAGATTCTCGAGAAAATGTTTGGGTAATTGGTTGCATCCTCCAAACTCAATTGGCTGCATGGCCACACATAAAAGTAAATCAAATAAAATGAGAATTTAGCAGGTGGTTCTTCTTGTCCGCTGTTTACATATCGAATGAAATGTTGGTTTTTGCGGATGAAGGAAAACCGGAGGACCCGGAGAGAAAACCTCAGAGCAAGGACAGGAACGAACAACAAACTCAATTCACATGTGACGCCGGGAATCGAACCCGGGTCATGCCATGTCTACCAATGAATGAATTCTTTGTGGGTAGATTTTTATAACCTGGCATCAGCAACCTGCAGGCCGGGAGAAAATTGTTACTCGTTCACAGAAAATACACATGAGAGAAGTTTTGTTATGTTTTGTCAAGTTTTCTTTTTTCAGTTGTGAATGTAGAATTGTGTACTATAGATAACATCTAATTTCGAAAAGAATAATAATAAAAAGAAAAAAGACAAATAAAAGCAACAACCAACACCTGCAAAAACCGTACCAGAGAAAGTGCCTCCGTGACCCAATAAATGTTCAGAGTAAAAAAAGATAAAGGAATAACATTGCTAAAAATGCTGATTAGTAGGGGAAATAATAGAAAAGACAGCAAAAAAAAATGCAAATTTTCCATGAAGAGAAGTTACTCGGCCCCCAAGCCAGTTTGAGAGTTACTCCTGTAGCGTGATTCGAACCCGCGGCCTCGATGACCTCTCCTTTACTCGATGCGCGCCCACGATTATCAGTCGACCATCTGGAAATTGCATATTAGCGTTGTATTAATTGTCAGTGTAAAGAGTTTTGAAATACCGCGTTGGGGGAGAGGGTGAGGAGGTTTGTCTGACTGAGACTGCAATCAAGTGTTTCCGGTCAATAACAAAGGAAATAAATCATACCAAGAACTGAGGACGCATTTATTATACAAACATTCCTTTTACTTTATGTTCCCTTTTCACCAGACGCAGAATTCATTTGTCATTATTAATCAACAAAGATTTGTAATGATGGCGGCTGTGCTGGTAAATGAAAGGAACATTACAAATTTCCTTTTCGCCCGTAAAACATTCCATCCAAAATACATATATTATATCCCTAACAAAGAGGCATAGATATAACTCATAACACTGTGAAGCTAGAGGCCGGAAATGGGAAAGTGTTTTTTTTTTTTTTTTTTTTTTTCGGCTTTTGTCTTTTGTTTATGGAATAATCCACGTTGCTATGCGAATGTTTAGTAGAAGAAGCAGCCTAGAGTGTCGCTTATATTTTAACCAGATTTTGATCTTTCTGTGATTTATTTCGATCATTTAAAAAATGAAAATAAAAAAACAGCAAGGAAGGCTAAAAATCATACAGAGGCTTGTCAATATAAAATTATTCAATGCTAAATCAACTTCGTCCTCACGAATTGTTTTTATATGCAAAGTTCGTCTTGATCGGCATTTAGTAGTTTACAAGATTCAGTGTTTATGCTGCAAACCTTGACCCAGTCACTCCCTTGAGTTTAAAGATTCTCGAGCCAAAAAAGAAATTCCTAGCGTCGATTAAGTTAGTCACTTTAAACTTTTAAATCTTATGTATCAATATAAGCCGGGATAACATCAAACAAATCCAGGTGTTTAAGGGCTACGTGACTAAAGCATAAATGCGCTTTGAACCTCAACAACACTAAATGCTTAGGGGGGAAACAAGTTTTTCTTTTAGTATTTAGTTCGACTAAAGATCGTCGCTTTATTTGAAGATTTTTTACTGTGTTTTTTTATGACATTTGATTATTGTTTGAGCTAAACATGTGAGCTTAACTTTTTGAGCTCCTTATAAAGTACCATCGACCTAAAGGTTATCATTATTCCAAGATCTCTATCAAAGTAGCCTCCCGCAGTCGCTATGACCACCCTTTTGTTATGCAGTTCCTATTGACGCAAGTGACGAACTTACTTGCCTAAACGCGTTCTATAACTAGTTAAGTAAATCTTCTTACATGTGGAAGCCCCAGACTTTCTGGCATGATAATTTACTGATACAGTGACTAGTTCTAATTCCAGAGGTTTTAGGACGGTCGAACTTTTCAAGGTGATCGATCATCCAGAGGCATTGAACAAAAACTTGACACTTCATGTTGAAGTAGACATTTGCAGTTGCTATAAAAACCCTTTTAAGATATGATTCAATAAATATTGTGTTCAAGAAATTATCTTTTTTCCTTAGACGAGTTTTACAGTGGGCTGATTGCGAATAGTTTCAGAATTTACAAACAGTATTTGATTTACCTTCGATATTTGAATATTTCTGGGGTTTTTGTGATGATTTTATTTCCTAATTAAAGTTTAGGTGAGTTGGGCAAATCTTTCTTATCATCCTTCAGAAATGTTATTATGTAAGCTTTTCTCACGGAGTACTCGTTCCCTGACTAAAGCAGCAGAAAATGTAAATATTTTTGGCTACTGACGACATTTCACACACCAAGAATCTCGTAGTGACGACCTCAACTAGGTAGTGGCATTTGATGTCGCTGTATTTCTGCTGTGTCAGTCCCTTGGGTAAATCCACTTTCCTTCGGGTATATAACGTATATAACTTGAACATGCGCATACTGAGACTTGTAAGGCCACTGACAATAGCCTAAATCCTCCTATTACAGTATTGAGGGTCTAATTGGGCTACCCGATAGCCCTAAAATGGCCCAAAAATTTAGCCGTTCAGTGTAAAAATTGACAAATTTTAAGCGTTCGTCGTAAAAAAAAGTTAACCGTAAAAAACACTTCTGGTGACATCAACGGAAAGATATTAACCCTTAGCCGTAAATTGGCCAAAATTTAAACCGTTACCCGTGAAAGCCATCACCCCATCGAGACCCTCAGCATTGCCCAAAGTTGAATTGCGGCAACTTTGGAAATAGAGTTTTACAAAACCCGGTAGACTAATTTTTGGCCCACTCCTCTTTACTTTAAGGACGAGGTCAAAATCAAATTTTTCCGTTTGATCGGTGATAAGTAATCAACAACGTCATCACATTTTGCCTGAGGAGTTGTTCAGTAAATTTAGTAAATTTGACAAAATAAAAAAGTTTAAGGTAATGAGAGTTACCTCCCGCATCAATTAGCGAAAAAGAGCTCTAGCCTCTGAACAGGACTACCACTCGCGTTCAACGTTGCTTATTACCTGAAGCTGAAGCTAATAAATATATTGTTTGGAGAAAGTGCGATAGCATCATGTCATGCTCAAGGTACAGCCATGAAAAAGCCATCAGCAAATTACCAAGCACAAAGGCTTGCATGTTCTAGACGAAAACAAAAGCAGTAATGTGGTTTCCTCACAAGTTCCTGCTCACTAATATAGGAAGTGGACGTAAACCGCAATTGTTACAACTTGCAAAGCTCAGAAAATTGCGGTTAACTTTGGGTTGTGTACGTGACACAAAGAAACATGAAGAAAAACCAACCAAGTGGTTCCCCTTGTAAAAACTTCAAATGGAACAGTGCCCTGAGTTCGAATTCGACAGTGAGTCATGTGAGAAACACTTATACATTGGAGGTTTTTAAGTCTTTTAGTTTAAAAGATCATGTGCTTTAAGCCTTATGCAAAGCATGAGCACATTAATTCACTAACAATTTCTAAGTTCAATGTATCATTCTACGCAAACGGAAATGATGTTGATAGTGATGATGATGATAACGATGAAGATGATAATAAATGTGGTCATCACTTTATCTTAAGTAGTAATACAAATTCGAGTCCGGGGGGTGCCCGTGACTCCTCTCCCCTCCCTTAGGTAAATTTTGTGTGTCTCTAAAGTCAATAGAATATAAATCTTACACTTACACAAGTTTCCAAAAATGCATGTAATCTGAAGAATCTACACCACAGAAATATCTTCCATTTGCCGGTCCTTCTCGCTCCGTGAATACGAGCCCGCTGATACACAGAGAAGTACAGCGGAGTAAACCACTTACCCATGACGCGGTCAAATTCGTAAGGGTGACCCCCTTCTCCCCCCGGTTGAGCTCCTCCCTCCCACTTAAACACATCCACCCACACATCTTTCTAATCATCCACTCGTTCCTTCTGCGGTTTTGTTTTGCTTTTTTTTCAAATTGCTATGTATATGTAAATTGAGTGCAGACAAAAAGGCATTCCTACAAACACACAGAACAGTAATTTTTCTCTTGGTTTCAAGTACTCCACAAGATTCAGAATTTCAGACGAAATTTTGACCCAGTTTCAAGCAAAACTTAAAAACACTTGAGCAAGAAAGGAAAACCATATCTGCGACCAAGTAAGTCAATTTAAGTCCTCTGGGTAGACGTCACATGATCAGCTGCCATAACTAAGAACAGATTTTCGAATCTAACTTTCCTGTAATGACACCATAAGCTTCGTCTACATCTATTTTGCCAGGAGAGATGGAGTTTTTTTTCCTCCAGTTGATCTCGAAAGAAAGATGAGGGGCCTTCGCCGAACATGCAGGTTTTTTTTTGCTCCGTACTCCGATAAAAAAATTTACCTGCCATCTGATCGTTGATAGTTGACTCATGCTGCGAATGGTTATAATTTCACAAACCATCTTTGTTTTAAGATTCACTTTGGATTTTAAGTTATTAC